AGCCCGAGAAGCTCAATGGCGCCCATAAACAATACGTACGATGTGCCGTGCACCACGCAGGCGGTTACAAGCTTTGTACGTAGTCTCTATACGGGGATTCCCTTTTGCAGTGTTACGATTCGTGAGGGGTCTATGAGAGGGCTGCACAAAGATGTACAGAACTCGCATGTCCCTTCCATCGCAATTAGCCTAACTGACCATGAAGGCGGTGAACTGTGGATAGAACACCCAGAGGGGACGGTAGAGAGAGAACATGAAGGTAGACGAGTTCAGGGTAAAGCGTACTCCCTCTTCCCTCACCCTGCGATATTCACATCCAACCTTCTACTTCATGGGGCCATGCCGTGGACGGGACGTAGACGCCTAACTCTCATTGCGTTTACTCCCCGCAATGTAAAGACCCTCTCCGTTGAACTTAGATCTCTCCTCCTCACACAGGGGTTTGCACTCCCGACCCCAGCCCAGCTGAGCAGGTTCAGGCACAACCTGGTCCGACCAGGCACCGTACAACTCTCCATCCCTAACCTGATAGCTAGAACCAGAGCTGTCCAACAGGAGCGCCCCCCCCAGCCCGAGCTGCAGGAAAGACGCCCCCCCCAAGAAATCTCCAGCTCGGAGGATGAGCCTCAAGCTTCAGGTCTCCGCAACACAGGCCGCCTCAAGCCCCCGTCACCGGGGTTCATCACTAGGCTCTTAGCGGATGATCAGAGGGACCTCGAGAATGGAGTGCCTTGGCTTGGAGCACTGAGTGAACAGTCCCAAAGCAGCTGCATGACGGGGGCCGCCATGCATGAGGGTAGGGATGGACCTCGCCGCATGGCCCGGCTGGAAGTGGAACAACCTCAAACAACCCCAACCCCCGTCCCCCCCCTCAAGAGAGCCAAAACGATGCCGGCAACACTGCCGAGCAGAGATCGCTGACACGCCCCTCCCACCTGACCCAGAGGGGATGAGGTTGCTAATTCGCCCTAACTCAAGGTAGGATACAATGACCAATTTGGCCGTGACCCAAATACCCTACAACACGGCATTGCCTCTGCACGCCTGCGTGTGATCACAGCCGTGGCTTGACGTAATATCGAATGATGTTACAGGCTCCCACCGCCGCTCTGCCTCGCATTTAGTGAGACGATGTGGCAGACTCATGTTGTCCCCTGCGTGCGACCATGTCATGTTGTGCCCTGCATATGCACCATGTCCAACAGTCATGTGCTGTCCTTAAGGGCTTCCGCCACCGCCATGCCTGCAGACACTACGAAACGCATCGACGAAGAAGGCTGCACCCTGAAGGTTTGCGCCGTTACCCGCCCAAAAAAAAAACTAGCCTATGGCAAATGCCGCCCGGCAGTATGGGAATACCTGAGGATGTCGTGCTGTTCTATACATGCTGCGGTGTCATGAAGTCACTTTCGGTCATGTGCTGCTCTTAAAGGCTCCAGCCACCGCCGAGCCAAATACATGCCAGTCATGTCAGTACCTACATGTTGCGACGTTGTGACATTGCTAGTATGCTGTTCTTGAAGGCTCCAGCCGCCGCCATGCCAAGACATGCCAGTCATGTCAGTACCTGCGTGTTGTGATGTCGTGACATGGCCTGTACGCTGTGATGTACCTTACAGCCATGTACTGTCCTTACGGGCTCCCGCCACCGCCATGCCGGCACAAGCATGGGAAGAGCAACATACATCGACGACGACGGCTGCACCACACTGGATTGCGCCAAAAAAAAAAAACCGACCTCGCCCAGACCGACAGGGAAGGATTGACAAACAAACGACAGGGGAGGGTTGACAACAAAAAGAACACATAACCACGCCCTGGACCAGCTCACTTTTCTCTCCGCCTCGACTCTCCCACTCCCCCCTCTACTGACCTCCTTACTGTCTATCTCCCCTAACCCCCGACCTTAACCTCTTACGTGTATTACTCTAATATGATAAGATGTTGACAACTCGCCTGCTGAAGCCATGGCCCGACACGACTGACGCAGAGCGCAGTGGACGATGGTGCTGAGAGACACCCCACCCAGGAGCGTCAAGGACTGTCTTCGCTAGCACCTCGAGAATACTGCTCTGCCTGACAACTTACAGTCCTTAAGCTTGGCCCGACACGACTGGCGCAGAATGCAGTGGACGATGATGCTGAGAGACATCCCGCCCTGGAGCGTCAGGGACTGTCTTCGCTGGCACCTCGAGAATACTGCCCTGACGGACAACTTACAGTCCTTAAGCTTTGGACATGACTTCAAGCAGAGCTGGGAGAATAAGGCCTTGCCTGACGACCTGCAACTCACCTGCTGAAGCCATGGCCCGACACGACTGGCACAAAGCGCAGTGGAAGATGATGCGGAGAGGCATCCCACCCTGGAGAGTCACGGGCTGTCTTCGCTGGTACCTCAAGCATACTGCTCTGCCTGACAACTTACAGTCCTTAAGCCTTGGACACGACTTCAAGCAGAGCTGGGAGAATCAGACCTTGCCTGACAACCTGCAGACCTTGGACCTTGGGATGTGAACTACACCCCCAACGAGTCAGTTGGGACATTCGGCCACCCTGAGGTGATCTGGACAGGAAGTGTCGTGAGCTTATTGCAATGACGACCGCGCACATCCCACACAACTGCCAGCACCTCAACAATGACGTGGGACATGCGGCGATACTGTCATTCCAGAATGGCTTGGGCCCTATGCCGCAAAGTCGGGATCCTGACATCCTACTGGTAGAGACCAATGGCACGGCGCTCAAGACACCGGTACATATCAGCTGCCTCCTACTGCTTCCGACGGTAGAACTGTGAGCCGCAACGGATTGCGGCCAAGTTTGTAAGTCTGAAAGGGTTTGTAAGTCTGAAAGGGGGGGGAGGCCAAAGAATCTACCAGCCCATGCACTGGCCACAGGCGTGCCTAGACGGTAACTCTCATTCAGAAGCCGCCCCCCCCTTCCTTCCCGGATCGCACTACAATTCACGACTGCACTTGCATGTCAATTCCTAATTTAGTGCTGGGAGTCCGTCTAATTAGTAATTACCCTGCCGATATGCAACTAATTCGACCAACAAAGTCGTGCACTTTAATTCGTAATTGGTGCCACTAGTACGACACAAAATCCGCGCACCCTAATTTGTAATTAGTGCATTCCAGAGCCCTGGGGCCACGGCCTAATCGACAATTTGCACTTCGTAATTCGTAATTCAAAACTCACGGCGCAAGCAGAGCTAGCCCAGGGGGCCACCCCCATTTCAAGCTGGGCACGGAGCCGCGCCTGGCCCGGATTCCCCAACCTCGGATGCATCTCATGACATGGGCCACAGGCGTGCACACATCTCATCCATTCCACAACCCAAGAATCCGGGAAGTCAGGCAGGAACATTTCTGAGAGGTCTGGCTCCTTTGAAAGCGCAGCCGGACATTTGAAAATTGAACTAGGCTGCCGAGCGGACCCTCTTGTAAGCATAGCAGTGTAGTGAAGGGACGTGACGTAGTCCTTACTGACATCCGAGCCATGACAGTTCCCTCCCTGGTTAACCCTTACTGGTAAGTCCCCGTTGCTAGTCTGCAATATATCTGGAGGTAACTTGGCGAGGGACGGTAAGGCTTAGTGTGTACAAAGCAGGCGAGCTCTGAAGTGGCGATCCCCGTACTCGGTGTTTCAAGCTATATTTACTGGCTGCACTGGCTGTACTGTGTTCTAACCCTTCTTTGTGACGGAGGATCGCGAACAGGGCTCTTGCTCTTTCTGAAGGGGAGGTGCCCCAGGGAAACATACCAAGACTGGGTTCCGCTGGGGGGGATCATTAGCCGTCGTTGTTTATCTGGTGTTGGTGCATGTTGGTCTGGGAACATTGATCTCTCCCGAATGAACCCACCGCCAATTTCCTACCCTTAATGCCTTCCTGGCAATATCCCTGGGCAGCTGGCATGTGCCTATTGGGTGTCCTTTTTCCGTTCCTCCGACCCATTTACCCCGCTTTGCCGTGGCTAGTCGGGTGGCAAAAAAAAACCCCTAGTTCCTTTTTCAGCACGGGCCCCTTTTGCCTCTGGGCTGAAGTCTAGCCGGGCCCGAAACCCGAAACCCCAAATTCCTAGGCCCCACACCCCTTTGAAACTGGACATGCTGGATGCCTGAAAAAGAAAGCCTTTTTTGCAGCAGGACTCCTCGAGCCCTAAACCCTAAACCCTAAACCCTACACCCTATAAACCCTACAACGGCGGTGCTGGTATTCAGCAAGTCCAGGTGTAAAAAAGGAAATAGTCCAGAAAAAGGGTCTAGGGATTTACGAAACTACTATGGAGGGTGTGATGCCACGAGTGCTGTGACATTGGCGGCATGGGCTCAACAGTCCCGGTTGTATTCAGGAATACGCAAGAACTGCATAGTCCTGGATGCAACTAGGCTTTGTCATTCTTAAGGGTACTTAAACCCAATAAGGAAGATAGATTTAAATTTTTTAATACTATCCCAACCATGAACTAGTAAGGAAGTTCCGGATGCAACAAGTAGAATTAGGATTAACTGACATCACCTCCCAGCCATGATGTAAGATATTATGAATTGGGATTGCTGCTGGCATTCAAGAAGTCCGCACAGAAGGAAGGAATATCGAGTTCTGGGGGGGGGGGGTGTTTTTGTTTGAACGCCTTCAATTCAGATTGGGGTCTCCGGGAATATCCGCAAGAGCTCGGTTTGGGCTTGGTTTGTAAGCTTCGAAGGCACAAGCAAGATGTTGTGTCACGGTGCTGGCACAGGGTCCCCCTGCATGAAAGTCACAGCAAGATTTGGCCGCGCCTCATGCCAAAAAGAGCCTCCAAACCCACGTCTCACTCCTGGTTTTTCCAGGGTTGAGAGCAACTGACGCCCCCAAACCAAAAAAAGGGACTCAGGGGAAGCTACATGGGGATGTGCAAGGGCTTTGAGAAGTTTCATGTAGAGTAGTTTAGGGGAGCCAAAAGGGGAGTTAACAAGGCCTTAAGGTGGCTCGAGGGGATAGATTGCTCGCCAAGGCTCTGGCCCAAGGTGAACGCCGCGGTGGAGAAGCCGGGCGCACATTGCTGGTGCATGTTTGTGGTAGGTACAGGACGGTGTGCCCCACAAAGTTGTACATTGTGCAAGAAGACCACTGGTTGGTGCATTCTTCTGCCAGGAAAGCCATGCTTCAGGCTCCACCCGAGATTCACTAACCCAAGAGGATCTTGCGTCCAACCGTGTCATAAGTTCACCAGCACATCCCGGGAAACTATCCTGCAAGGCTTCCGTTGCCCAGAAGTCAAAGCCGCCAGCCTTGGATTGGCCTGTCAGGTTCATGGTCGAAGAGGTGCAGCCCCAGATTCGCGAAGAGCTGCCGAAGTTCTTGCGGCTGGGCAGGCTTTCGGAATTCCGAGAAGTCGGGCACTTGCATCTACTTAAGGGGTCGGAGTAACTAGAGTAACTAGTAAGACGAAAGCGTATTCCCGTATGGTCCCTATATATAACTACACTATACACCCCCCCCCCCCCAAAAAAAAAAAAAAAGTCTAATTCTTAGGACCCCTATGATCCCTATGTTACTCATGCCTTTCCTGCCTGTTGCCATCCTTCAGCCTGACCCGCCTCAAAGTTCCGTAAAGCGGGCGAGTGTCAAGCCCGATGTGGGGGGTTTTACTGATTACTGGTATCATAAGGGAATCCTGCTATTTGCGATCTATATTGGGGGGTCCCCCCTATGTTCCTTTGTTCCTAAACCCTCATGTTGCTGCTTGGCCCAGGAAGAGCTTCCACTTCAAGCACTTCAATTTTGGCCACGGCATCCCAGATTTGCACAATCTGGAGGCTTAGTAGTAGAGTAGGTAACCTTTAACCTTTTTGGGTTAATATATTCCCCTTATATTCCCAAAGGTTAACCTTTAAAACCCCTAGGTACTGGACAACTAAGGAAGTGTGGGATGCGCCATGCCGAGATCAAGATGCCAAGAGGCAAGGCGTGGAGATCCACGTCTCTTTTAAACTCCAGAGCCCCGGGCCGCACTCAGAGTTTGATTGCTCAGTTTAGGGTTTAGGGTTTAGGGTTTAGGGCTTAGGGCTTAGGGTTTAGGGTTTAGGGTTTAGGTTCTTTTTTTAGGATTTAGGGTTCAGGGCTCAGGGTAGGAACTTGCTCATCCTACAATACCTGAAGGCCCCGCAAGCTGCACCAGCGCTTATAAGGCCCGGAAGGCATTGCCTTCTTGTCCAGATGTTGTTGAATGAGTGTACGCCGCATACTCCACAAGAAGTATTCAGGGGGTCCATGATATCGATGGTCGCCCGGCCGTCATGGTCTACGCATTGGGGATGAGTATATATGGGGGTTTCCCATCATAGGGGTACCCCTTTTTCCCCCAGACATAGCAGAGTCCCCTTAAACGAGGACCCCTAGGAGGGCACCCCTATTCTCGTAAACTCCCATACCCTAAACCCTAAACCCTAAACCCTAAACCCTAAACCCTAAACCCTAAACCCTAAACCCTAAACCCTAAACCCTAAACCATGTGAGCCGAAGCCCACGTTCTCCCGCTTGCGCGCCGCGACCTGCGCCCAAGGTCAGACGTGGAGATCGCAGCCTCGGTCCTGGGCATCACTGCTGGCCTCAGCTACCTCTCCCTGAAGGGCAGCTCCTGGGCCTGAGATGGAGGGTTTAGGGTTCAGGGGTTTAGGGTTTAGCAGTATTCCGGCAACGCCCTCAGTCCGGCTGCAAAAAGGGTTTAGGGGTTGCGGGTCTTTCATGAGGGCGTTTGGCACAAACCATCCGAAGGAGCATCAATCATGGACCTCTTGTGGGGTCTGCACCTGCTGTCGCAAAACAAGAGGAATATAGGGGCGGAATAATTACTAATAGTATTCCCTTATGGTCCCTTTTAGTATTTAACTATACGAGAATTGGCCCCCAAAATCCCATTTTGATGAAGGCCATTTACAGCCCCTATGTAAGGCCTTCAAGACGAGGGGTCGAACCCTGGGTTGGCTGCTCTTTCGCTGCCAAAGCATCAGGCAGACCCTGCTGTTTGGAGAATTGGCAAACTGTTCCCCTTCCCCTCCCACCCTCCCCCCACCCACCCCGGGGTTCCTTTGCAAGATTGCAGGGTGGAGGGGGGGGGGGGGGGTCGTCATTTCTCGGCTTTGCGAATCTTTTAAGGCTTTGCAAGGGGGGTGGCGGAGCGGGGGGCATCTTGTCAGCTTGCAACTCACAGGTTCTATATAAGGGATCAAGATCTCCTTACATCCGCTGAGGATGGCTGCTAGGATCTGTGAAGCAGGGTTTGCCCGGGGCTACTGCCATCTCTTTCTGGCATTTGCGGTGTGATTGTGTGATGCGGGCAGCCCAGTGTGCCCCGCACACATGTGCTAGGCGGGCGGCACAAAAGTACTGATTCCGGCTGTTGTTGGAAGAGGTTGGCTGTTGCAGAAACTGGCGTTTTGCTTCAGCCGGGTCTGAAGGGGTGTCGAAAAAAACCCAGGGCCCTGTAACAAACATACCCCAAAGACTCTAGAAGCCCGTATGACCCTTATGAAAGAGGACGCTCACTGGTTTTGGGCTAACCCTACGTAACACCAGAGGCCTGGTTATCCGGCTCGACCCCCTGCTGAACGAGGAGCCTTTGGTTGGAGGCACCAAGAGCTGTGTATACATATATATATATGTATTATATAGATATATCTACAAAAAATATTCGATATGAATAGATAGTTAATATGACACACACACACACACACACACACGATGGCAGCCGTGGAGGTGTCCGGGTAATAACTCTTAGTGGGAGGAGTGACGTCTTTGTGGGGGCAGGTCGTTTTGGCTTTGTGGTTCTTTGTTTGCTGCTGGTGTATCCTGCAAAGTGGGCAGACGTTCTGCCGAGAAGCATAGCCCTAAGCCTCAAACTCTGACACTCATAAGCACAAGGGGCAAGGCTGGAATGCGCAAGGCATCGTGGCCTATTTCATCGACCCCCCAGTGGTGGACTTCCGCATGACACCCGGCATTGCTCAGGCACCAGGGCGGTTGAGTTTCAAGCTGGCTCCACTCGTCTGCTGCACGAAGAACCCTAAACCCTAAACCCTAAACCCTAAACCCTAAACCCTAAGAACAAAAAACCAAGAACAAACATTAGCATGAACAACTTGTTTTGTGTCATGCCTTCAAGGCTGCAGGGTAAAGAGCAGCAGTAGCCTAAAACCCTGCAAAGACTTTCGATTTTCCAAGGCACACGCATGACAGCCTGTCAGGATCCCCTCAGAAGAATGGAAGTTTCTGCTGAGTTACTTTCGTCGTTGCCAGCGTTCCTGCTTGAAGCCAACTAACCACTTGTGGCAGGTGGCGGAGCAGGGTCCTCTGAACGAGGTGCTGCGAAATCTAATCGAGTCCACCATCCACGACCAGCTCCTTCTTCCTAATGCCAGCTGGCAGATGGTAAGTTCAGACGGGTTCTTTGGGCATAGGTTTGGCCCGCATCAGATCCCCCACACGCCTTTGGCAGCTTCGTCTGGCGCAGTTCCTGAGCCATCACGTCGACTTGGAGGTTCAGGGGTACTTATAACCCCATTTGTATAAGTCTACTTATAACATACTTAATTGGGGTTATAAGTACCCATGAACCTCCAAGTAAACACCCCAGGTCATACACATTCCCATGGTGGACGACGAGGACCTGGTCGACACGGCCAGCGTGAAAGATGCGAAACCCCTTGGTGTGCTGAGAGTTACTGCCCCTTGGAAAGGCTTATTAGCGAGTTTGCTTTACGGATTCAACGCAGGCATCTGAAGCACTTGCACCACGATTCTCCTTCTGCAGCCGTGTCTGTTGGCAGTGTTGGACGGTTAGTTCATCTCCTGAGCCCCGTGCCATGATGATGTTGAAGCTCCTGATGGGCTTGGCCATGGCATGGCTGACGGTCGGTGAGCCCAACTCGGCCGCCACGAAGCCCACGCAGGCCAGCAGCAACCTGCGCAAGGCCTCCCAGCCCTCCCAGCCCTCCCAGGCCTCCCAGGCCTCCCAGGCCTCCCAGCCTGCGGAGCCTGGGGAGCCTGCGGAGGAGCGCTCGGCCCAGCCGGCGGAGCCGGCGGAGCCGGCCCAGCCGGCGCCTGCTCTTCCCAGTGCCTTCGGGATACTTGGGAATAGTTTTCGGACTCTACTTGCTAAGACTAAGAAACGGCTACAGTAACATTAGATTTGTTGCTAGGGTTCCAAGTCCAGGTGCCAGTTCCGAGTGCCAGACCCTTCCGTTCGACAGCAGCCCTGGTCCGAACGGCGGTATCAGCATGGCACAATGCCAAGGGGACTGTGACGGAGATGATGACTGCGCGGCTGGGTTGAAGTGCATGCAGAGGCATGTTGGTGAGGCTGTTCCCGGATGCAGCGGTGGAGTTTCCTGGCCAAACTGGGACTACTGCTACAACCCGCAGTGCGAAGATGGCGAGCCGGGCCTGCCACCCTTGGACAGCACCTATGGGCAGCATGGTTCCACCAACATGCCGAAGTGCGCTGGAGACTGTGACGATGATGGGGACTGTGCCTCGGGACTCCGCTGCTTCCAGAGGTCCGGGGTCACGACGGTGCCCGGATGCTCAGGAGTCGGCATTCCGAATTTTGATTATTGCTATGATCCAGCAGATGCCCCCGAGCCTCCAACGATGCCTCCCGGAACTGGGCCCGCCTGTCTTTGCATCTTCGACGTGGACCGGACGCTGACGGGAAAGCAAGGCACCGCCGGAAACCAGTGCCCAAACGACAAGCAGATCTACGGAATTTGGGACACTGCGTACAGTGGGGGCTGGCTGACGATTTCTGAGGCCGGCCAGAACCTCAAGAACACGTTCTGCAACAAGTGCTACATGGGCATCGTTTCCGCTGGAATGGCCAGCGGGCGGAATTCCCAGGAGCGAACTTACTTGCTTCAGAATGTGCTTGTTGGGGAGCCCTTCCAGGCATTGCTCTCCTCAAACAACCGGGCTTCCCACTGGTCCGTCGGGGCCGTGCATTCGCCGCTGGCTACTAAGAGACGTTAAGCAAACCCTTCTGGCTCTTGTGCTGTTTGCTTTTTCTCCCGGGCAGACCTGGGTTGAGCAACGTGTAGTCTGTGCTGCTTGAGTGCTGCTTGAGTTGGCGCTCGAGGTTCTTGGGTGGCCTGATCGGGAGAAGCAGAATGCCGTTGCTGGCATCGTCGCGTGGTACGAGCAGCAGGGCATCCAAGTGGCGGACACAGACGTGTACTTCTACGGTGATCGCACTGAGAACATCCCTCCCTTCAGCGCTACAGCCTTCAATGCTCGTGAGATTTCCTGCGCTTCTCGTGACATGAGCATTGGCAACGGCATTGTCGGGTTTTGCGGCGCAACAACTGCCGCTTGGCAGCTCAGCAGCCCACATGTATCATGCTAATCCTCAACCCAGAACTATGCCCCATGCTTCCGGCACATGTGGAAAGATTGAAGGGCCACACATGTGACAGTCAGCCGCGCCGCAGGACGAAATCGTGGATGCCAAGGGCGTCGCCGTTTGCAGTGACCCCACACCCCTGCCCCCGCCACCGCCCACGCAACCGCCCACGCCCACAGAGGACTGCGTGTGCATCTTCGACATTGACAGGACTCTGACCGGTAAGCAGGGTGACGTCTCAACCTGTCCAGACAATAAGTTGGAATCAAGCATCTGGGACACGGCTTATGGCGGAGGCTGGCTCACTCTCTCGGAGGCTGCGCAGAAGTTGCCGGAGACCTTCTGCAACTCCTGCTACTTGGGTGTTGTGTCAGCAGGCGATGCGGGGGGCCATCACTCACCAGAAAGGCCGTTTCTCCTGGACAATGTTCTGAACAGTGAGAAGTTCAACAAGATGAAATCCGAGAACAGCCAAGCGTGCCCTGGCATCAGATCTTAAATCATGTGGGTCTGGGACTGCTGCGGAAGTATGAACAGCCCCATGAAGTCTACTTGTGGTACTGATGCCCATGTTTAGCGAGGTCTGCTTGGTCCGATTATCCAGCAGTGGATTCACCACTCGTTCTCGGATGGCCGAACCGGGAGAAGCAAAACGACCCCCAGCTGAAATGAGAGTGCTCTGCATGTCCTTAGCTATGCACTTCCATGTAGATTCGGTGCACGACGAACTTCGAGATCTTAGAGATATTCAGCTGTACGAGTAGCTTGCTGACCGAACAGTGATACCAACAGCAGTAACATGTGGGTAACATCGCATGTACGCCGATCATTTCCCAAAGGCTGCTGAGGGCATCGTGTCCTGGTACGCGAAGCAGGGCGTCACCATCCCGGCAAACAAAGTGCATTTCTACGGCGACCGCACAGAGAACATCGGACCATTCGCGGATAAGGGCTACAATGCCAGGGAAATTTCGTGTGGATCACGAGACTACTCTCTTTACTCAAGTGGAATGGTCGGGTATTGCGGCGCAAAGAAATCTGAGATTGTCGACACGCCGGGCATTGCAGGCTGCTGATGTGAGAATTCCGTAGTTGAATTCCGTCACTGCTTCGCCAGTGCGGGTCCTTTATGCAACCTTGCAGGACCCTACAGTAAACCCAGTCAAACTCACGCCCACACCAGTTTGGGCTAGACGGCTGCTTTTAGGCAGCATTTGCGCATGCCTTTAGGCTTCGCCCCACAGCATTCGTATAGATACAGCAGCCCGGAACGGCAGCAAGGAAAGAGCTCAATACAGGGGGCTCCTACCAAAGGGGTCAATATTCTATATTCCGGCCCTTATTATCCTAAGCCCCCACTTCTGAATTTCGGTGGGACCGAGCTTTGCTATCGAGCTTTTGGCGGGCCGCCACCTTGTTGGCGGCCTGAAGAGGCAAAGCCTCCAGCTTGTACAGATGGTCCGGTCTCTAGATAACGGTCCCTCTGGGAGGTCCAGTTTTAAGCACGGCCCTCTAGGGCGCAGCAAGAGGCACCGCACGTCAGAGCACGGACATATAGATGCACTCTCTGCCCATAGGGAAAGGCAAAGGGCCAGAGGCCACATAAAGATGACACCTCTGGCTCCTTGCAGCTTGACGATGCATGGACTGCGAAGACAGTAGAAAAGAAGCCCTTGTGGGGGGCAAGGGGGGCGGTCCTCACGTGCACCCCAAGACAGCACGATCCTGTGTCGGCGCAGTGGCCCATCTTAATCTTCACCGGCAGCCATGACTTGAGTGTAAGCTCGTGCAACAGTTGAACACTTTCCGTTGAGGGGCAACATAAGCCCACCCCTGTTTCCATACGCCCCAAACCCTCCTTGTGTCTTCAAGTTGCCCCTGCAAGTGTTGCGCACAGGAAGCTCGGCAAAAAGCCCTCAAAACCCTAAACCCTAAGCCCTTTAAACCCTAAGCCCTGCTTCCCAAGGTTTCCTCCGTGCAAGTGCCTCCCGAAAGCCCTGGCAGCTGCTTTGCCGGCCTGAGACCGTGGCTGGCCCGGGAGCTCGCCCCAGAGGTGCTTCGGCGGTGCAGGGTTTAGGGTTTAGGGTTTAGGGTTTAGGGTTTAGGGTTGGTTTAGGGTTTAGGGTTTAGGGTTTTTTAGGGTTTGAAGTGAGGGGGACGAGGTAAAAGGAGCTGGCAAAACACATACTCATAGCAACCCTTTGCTTGGTGGTTCAGTATGGTGAGAACCTTATTTAGGGTACCTAAAAACCAACTTCTAAGAACCTTCAAGTACACCCCCAAAAAACACCTCACCCTTGTGCGAGCGCGAGCGTCGAAGCCCAAGTTTCTGCTTCCGAGACGTCCAAGGTGCGGCTGCAAATCGGCGCTGAGGACTTCGGAAGTATGGAAGAATTCCTACTTTTCGTTCTTTTTTTTTTTTGGGGGGGGGGGGGGGGGGGGGGGTTGGGGGTTGGGGGCATCTTAAGTCCAGGGCTCTTAAGTCAGGACTTCAGGTAGCTCTGGCCATGTTGCTGCCTTAGCTTTTGGGAGTGTGGGATCTCAGGGGCCATCAGCGGCTATCATCGTTGTTGTGGATGCGCTACTCGCAATGGTGCAGTGCGTGGGTCTTGCTGAGACAGTCCGAGTCACCGAGTCTTGGGCGGAAGTCGTGCGCGCAGGAGTGGTGCAGCCCAGTGCTGGAGCGCCATAGTTCAGAACTTTATAACTTCCGCTACTTGGCGTGTAGTCTTGGGGGGTAGCTTGACAGGATTGACTGCTGCCTTATCGGCTAGAGGCGTCCAGGATAGGGGGGGGTGAGGGTTGTTCTAAGCTCGGCTCCCTTTGTGTAGTTCTTGGATCAACCCGCTGGTATCATCATCAGACTCGGTAGACTGCAAAGGTGATCCCTTCCTCATGTATACTGCGTTTATACTTCTACATGTATATAAGTATGTATTCTACGCATATATGCCAAACTATATAAAGCCCTTCAGCTCTGGGCCCACGCGAATCCTTCCCCTCAATCTTCAACCCCACCCAGAATGCCCCGAACTTTTGTTGTTTAGGTATTTTGGCGGTTTCCAAAATACCTGATTGGGGTCCTTGTTATAAGGGAATCCTACTCGTAAATCCCCATATCCTTCTTCATCTCCATCATGAGGGCTAAACTACCAGATGCAGATGCTAAGGCTCCCAGCCCTGCCGGGGCCGAGCCTACATCCGCATCCGCGCAGCACGGCCGCATAACTTTGGTTCGGGTTTTCGAGTTCGAAGCCTCGTAGCAAACTCGGCACCCCCAAACTCGGCTCATCCATCGTCGTGAGGGGTTCAAGAAGGCCCCAAGTCTGTGGAATCCAAGATGGGCTGGCGTTTGGGGAGGAGGGGGGGGGGGAGTCCCCATCTTCCCTTCAATCAGCATTTGCTGAGTAGACTTGGTAGAGAACTGGGGGTTTTCGAAAATAAGGGACCCACAATATAGCCCTCAAATCGTAGGCTTTTTTTGTAGTACGAACCCCCAATAAGGGCACCCCCGAATGTCGGAAACCCAGTAACGAACCAGATGCATGACGTGTACTCAGCATCAGTTTTCCTGGACCCCAGGGAGCGACGGGGCTCCCCGACAGCCACAGCTCCGGCCCTTGCTACATCGTGGCGCAGGTGGGGCTTCTTGAGGGGGACTCTTTAGGGGCTTGAGCCAAAATGAGGGCCTTCTTTTGGCACCCTAAAATCCTAAAACGAGGAACATGCATGTGTGTATATATATATATAAGAGGTACCATGGATTTTTTCTCCTGAGAACCCCTGAAGTGGCCCTGAACCCTGAAGCTTGTGGGCCTTGCCCGTGACGTGTTGCTGTGTGATGGTTGGCAAGCTTCTCTTGCGAGGTGGGAGGTCAGCAACAGCGAACTGCTGCGGTACCTCATTGGTTCACTTCGGCTTGGAGACTTGCCTTGGCTCAGTAGGGTTTAGGGTTTAGGGTTTAGGGTTTAGGGTTTAGGGTTTAGGGGTTAGCCCGAATGCTATAGAGCTTAGGGCTCCTGGCTGCAGAAAAGAAAGTATTGCTGGACCTGGGCATGCTGACCACATTCATTAGGCATCTTGTGTGCATCGCTGCACCTTAGCGCCCTCTTACACTGAATGAGCGGCTAAACTCCGAACTCGTTGTTGAGGGGGACCGGGCCGGACCGGGGTTCCCTCTCGAACGTGAGATCAAATGTGGGATGCGTGGATGCCCGAACTCAGGACCGACAGAAGCTCGGCTGAATGCAAGGGCTTGTTGTTATTAGGTTGCTGGTATGGCACAGGCAGCCCAAGTCAAGACATGCAAGAGAAACGCCTGGCCTAGCTACAATCGATGCGAAGTCGAGCCAGACTGCAACTCAAAATAGCCATAGTTTAGAGTTTCGGGCTGGAGCACAAGGGCTGAGCCTGGAGTTCCATGAAGGGCAGCCTGATACGAACCTGTGGTTCACCAGAGTACCCCTGCTCGACCTCTCCCATCGCTTAGGGTTTTGGGGTGGGTTTAGGGTTTAGGGTTTAGGGTTTAGAGTTTTAAGGTTTAGGGTTTTTTCGAGGTAACGAGCTGGACTTCCTGGTTGGGGAAGAAGATCATCTGCTGAGCAACTCGATGCCTTTACTGGGTAGGCCCTTTGGGACATTTTATGCTGTCCCTCATTGGGGTTTGGAGGATCCTATTCAGGAGTGTTTTTTCAGAGGGTTTTTCAGTGCCATCCTAGGTTAGCTCACTCATCCCGACGAAACCCTAACCCCCTCGCAAGGATCGGGTGGAAATTTTGCCATGTGCCCAAGCCATGGGAGAGCCCGAAGCAGAGTCGACCACCACGCCACCCTAAATCGGAGATCGGAGATCCCAGCAGCCTCCGCAGCCCAACCTACCGCAAAGAGGATAGTGAGCCTTTGAAACAGAACGCGACCTCATGCCTCCCGATCTACCCGAAACCCTATAAACCCTTCTTGGAGGCTCATTAGGCTACTTATAAGTAAGGTAAAACGTACCCTAAACAAGCTTCTATAACCATAGTTACCCTACTTATAACCCCACGTATAAGTACCCATAAGCCTCCAAGTAGCCCTAAACCCTCAACCCTAAACCCTAAACCCTAAACCCCAAACCCTAAACCTCAAAACCGGCGCCAGGGCTGGAGGTTTGGCACCCCAGCTTGGCATGGGATCAGAGCCTGGGCTTCGTGGAGGAAGATTTGGACCAAGTGGAAGCAGGCCAGTTTGGGGGGTTTTAGGGTTTAGGGGTTTAGGGGCTTAGGGGCTTAGGGTTTTATAGAGTTTAGGGTTTAGGGTTAGGGGTTTTTTGAGTTTATTTTGAGTTTAGGGTTTGGGGTTAAAGGGGCTGAGGGTTGGGGATTCTTCGGATCTTTGCGGACTTGCGGCTTGGCGGATGCACTTGAGGGAGGTCGGCACCGTGAGAAAGTGGCCATGGATCCGAGGGTACTCTTAAACCCTAAACCCTAAACGCTTTTTTTCAGGGAGCTTCAAGTTCGATCCCCCCCGAGCGGTTAACGGTTAACAGCAGGCGGATGGCACTCGATGATGCGGCGGGTTCGGCCGAAAGAGCACGCAACTTTACAGCGCCCCGGCCCTGAATCAAGCCGTTACGTTTTTTGGATTGGAGCCGTATGGCCACGCAGATCTTCAAGCCCAAGCAAGACCTCCGATTTCACTGACTCACGTTGCCGTGCTATTCTGATGGTCCGTGACCAGCTCAGCCTCGAGCCTAAACACCCTTACAGAAGGGTCGGTTTTGCGACTATCGAGGAGTTCTGGCGGCCCGCGTGTGCTTGTGTTTGTTTCATCGCTTTGTGCAGCTGAGGTATGACGTGCGCTTTGAGCCACTCGCTGCGTCGTCCGCGTACCACGTCGGCAGGCGTCACTGCCGCGCAAGAATACGCTTCCGGTGAAGCAGGGTCCGATTTGGTGCAGCAGAGTCCGATTTTCTGTGCTACTTCTCTGCCCAGGTATTGCACTGTTGCATATACATGAGCATATTTCTTCGCTCGCCATTGAAAGGTTGCCACTTCAGTCAGTTCTTTGGTGCACAAGCCATGGCTGCTGTATTCGCCTTGTCATCTCCAACAGTAGCTCAGTAGCTGCGGACTGTTGTCATGAATGTGGCGCTGGTGCCTGGCGGTCTTTGAGGTTGGCACATGAGAGTCTGAACTGAGAGTAGCCAGAGTGGGGGGGGCCTCGGTGCCAGGAATGTGCATGACTTCTTTGTCTTTGACTACAACCAGAAGCTGCAAGAGCCTTGTTTGCAAAGACTTCGGCCGAGCAAACCCATGCCTCCATGCAGTCCATCCGTACTTGCAGGTTCATGGGTAGTTATAAGTGGGGTTAGAAGTTAGGTAGCTAGATATCAGACTGGTTATAACCTTACTTGGGGTACTTCTAACCCCGCGTGCAAGTACCTATGAACCTCCAAGTAAGGTTTCCGTGAGCGACGTCGGGCGATGGGGCTCACCTCGGCTGATGGGCACCGCGAAGAATCGGAAGATCGCGGAGCTGCTGTGCTGGGGAGGTGCTCAGCCGTCACTCACAACTCTCAACCGTCCCAAAGTCCTTAAAGCCCTATGTTCCTCAGTCCAGATCGGCAAACAGCAAACGCATGAACCACTAGCTCGATGCGCAAGACACCTCCTATACCTGAACCGCAACAGTTTACCCGCGCAGAGCATGGCCGGGCGGGTGACCCACAAAAATCCCAACCAGGGTCCCAAACTGTATCTGTACAGGTTGCTGCCACGGCTCCGTTCGCATGAACCTCCACGACTTGCCAAAGAACTCAGAGGCTCTTCTTTTTTTGGGGGGGGGAGGGGCTCATAGGGTGGTGAAGCGACAGCGCCTGACTTTGCAGCATTTCCTGCTCCTCCATGTGAAAGTGGTGGAGAACAGCCAATGCAGCATGTCCTGCCTTCATTGCGTAACGTCTAGTCCCTCATGCTTGCTGATGACCAGGGTGTTAAAGTGCTACTCACATCACCACCTTACAAGCATACTCACGCCCGGGATATTCTGTGTTTTTGTGCATGAAGTGGCTGAACGGCACCCTGGTTTGTAGGAGATGTTCGCAGGTGAGGAGAGAGACAAAGAGTGCAAGTGAGTCGGTGTGACATAAGGTGACCCTTGGCGCAGTGACGCTCCACGTCGATTGGCTGGAGCGACTTGGCTCAGCGTTCGACGTCGGATGGCCTGTTTGCAAGAGCGCTTTACCAGAATTCAGGGAGCGACAGGAGTCCCTCCACACCAAGAGCCCCGCCCGCTCGCGCTAGTGTGAGAGTCGAAGCGTTTCTTGGGGTTCAAGGTGTGGCCGATGTCCCCGCAGTTCTTCAATAAATGTTCAGTGATCCCTGCTTCACTGGAAGTTCTGGTCCCGTCTGACGCTCCGCGTATAGCGGACCATACTTGCCAGAACCGACCATGTCATGCGACCCAGCCCATGACCTGACAAGTTTTGAGGATCATCCCGCACTCAGCTGCTCGGCAGCCAGAATGTTGCGATTGCGACGTAAGGGCTAGATGCAACGTTCTGTATGTGTGTCGTTGTGCTAATGCAATAAGAGAGTCGCAGGTCGAGAGTCTTCGCAGGTCTGCCATTGAGTTGGGGAGGTGTGGTACAGCGATCAGCGGGCTTCGGCAACCTAGGTGGACTATGATCACTGCCTGCTACAGTGTCACATTGACGAGGCAGCGGAGCTTGCTTGCCTCGACCATTGCACCTCGTGCGGCTTATGACAGGTTTCTGCGCATCATCCGGCAATCGAAACCCTAAACCCTGAACCCCAAACACTGCCTCGGCACATGGAGGTCTTCCTCCCCGAAGCCTTTCACATGCAGCAGATCGCGCTCTGCCTGCGGGTGGGAGAAGAACAGCTGCGGACAGGTTTGGTGCGATGCAAAGCGGAGGCTGCTAAGCAGGCAGTTGAGAGGTTTAGCTTCAGCTATGGTGGAGCACTTCTCAACAACCTGTCGAGCGGCTCATGGTCACCTAAACTTCAGAAAGTAGGGACAGGCGATGCCATTTCTCCTGTGTTGATTCCCTTGAAGCTGTATGGTTTGGGGGGGGGTGGGGGTTGTTACCTTGAAAGGTTTTCAGGGTTTAGTCCTAAAATAAACTGCCTGGCCTGGCAACTTAGGCATCCGACCAAGAAGGGAAGCAGGAAGGGAAGCGGAGGTCCTCTGTGGCGCGCAGCCAGATTTTCCAGGAGCCGGGGTGGTGCTGGGCATTTCTTGAGATTTCTTGAGATTTCATCATGCTCCACTTTTTTTTTGGGGGGGGGGGGGGGGGGGGGGGGGGGGGGGGGGGGGGGGGGGGGGGGGGGGGGGGGGGGGGGGGGGTCGTTTGAGCTGCTAGGCTTTCACGCCAGGCGCGTGCTCCTTTCGTAGGAGAGAGATTGCTCCGCCCTTGATCCCGTGATTCCGCGCGCATATAATAGCCTTTGAACCCCTAAACCCCAAACCCCTAAACCCCAAACCCCAAACCCCAAACCCCAAACCCTAAACCCTGAACCCTGAACCCTGAACCCTGAACCCTGCTTCTTCTGTGCCCTGCAAAGCGTCGTGGCTCGAGAATGTGGGAGCTGACAGCGGCAGCTCCCAGTCTCGAGGGACAGCCCCGAGACCCAGAATCTCCATCCCCCTTGGGAACTATTTTTTGTTTTTGTGTATATAAAACCCAGGAGGGTATGAAAGATAGTGTTTTTATTGAGGTTCTAAGGGGAGTATAGGAATGAAGATTTGGCTCTGGAACCTGCTCCTTGTGAGCTCCTTCCTCTGCCTGAATCTTGCTAGCCCAGTGGTACCCTTTTCCCTGTTTTTGGGGTTCAAGGTTCCCTCATAAAGTAACCAACCCAAGAAAGGGTGCCCTTATTAAATTATAAGATGCTTACTGGGCTACTAAGGAATGCAGCTACCTTGCGGAAGACGAAGATGACGTCTGCCGAGCTTCGGATGTCGGCGCGCATGAAGTCCATGGCGCCAGAGAAGGCCACCCTCTCGAACCTTGGGGATGTTAAGAAATCTTTTCTTAACTTTGAGCACTTCAATTTCTAAGAAACAGCAAGCATTTTTTTAATTTTTGCTAGGGCTCCGAGTTGACTCAGCATAGGAACATGGAGAAGTCGGTCCTGAACGTGGCAAGGCTCCAGTCCCAAGGCACCTCTGCCTCCACGAACCTGACCGCTTTCTTGAAGGCTTGATGGATCCAGTGGTACCCTTTTTTCCCTTTTTTTGTTGGTTCAAGGTTCCCCTATAAAGTTGTTTCCTCTTTTTTTTTTTTTTTGTTTTTTGGGGGGGGGGGGGGTTCAAGGTTCCCTTATAATAAAGTAACCAAAAAAGGTTTCGTTTTGGGGTTCAAGGTTCCCCGATAATAAAGTAACCCCAAAAAAGTGTTTTTTTTTTTTTGGGGGGGGGGGGGGGTTCAAGGGTGCCCTATAACAAAGTAACCCAAAAAGTTTTTTTTTGGGGCTTCAAGGGTGCCCTATAAAGTAACCAAACCAAAAAAAAGGGTGCCCTTGTTAGAATAGGGTTACTGGGCCACCGAGAAGGAGATCCAGCGGCTCATCGACTCCAGCATGAAGCAGAACATCCTGCAGCGCATGAACCAGACACTTTGCCGTAGTGGGGCAACACTTTACATATATATATATATATATATATACATATATATATACATATATATATATACATATATATATACATATATATATATACTTAAGGCTACTTAAACTCAATAAGGATAGAAATCGAAATTTTTGAATACTCTCCGAACCATGAACTAGGACCCAGATGGATCTCGATGAGGCGTGGCAGAACCTGAGTACCTGTATTCAGCCCAATGACACCCACTACGTCGAAGAGCTGGCAGACCTGGATGCCCAGCATATTCAGTGCCGGCAGTCGGAAGCCGACCTGTACGCAGACTTCCAGACCACGTGCGTCGTCGGTTGGAAGATCTATGCAGAGCGGATCCAAGCAATCTGCAACAACTATGTGCAGGCCCAGACACTCCCGGACCCAACGAGTACCTGTGTCATGCAGTTGGGCACGCCAGTTCCAACGATTGGCAACTACCTGAAAGGCATGGCTGCTCACTTCAAGGGTGAGTACCAGGCAGTGGTGGAAAAGCGGCTGAAATGCCAAAATGCCTCAACAACACCCTTCAAGAACATGGAGCTTTGCAAGCAGTTGATGTGCCACTACTGGGACAGAAGGCTTGAGTGCTCAACGCAGCAGGCAGCATTCGAGCAGCGATCCTGTGAGGTACACAAGACATTTACTTGTAGCAAGTTCTCGAAGTGCTATGCGGAGAAGGCGGACATCTACCAGGACATCCAAAGCATGGGAAAGCAGACAGAAGTGGCCGCGAAGGCAGAGTGGAGGATCGTGAAGCGGATCGAATGCTACATTGCTGCCTTGGGCAAGCCGAAAGACGAGCTGTCGGCATCCATCGACGCCTGCAAAGGAACCTACATCCCCCTTGGGACTTTTTTTATTTTTTGTTTATATAAAAACCCAAGAGGATTAAAAACATATTATTTTTATTAAGGTTCCAAGGGGAGTATAGGAACAATCTTCTCCACTGACCCGGTTGAGCTTGTCTACAAGGGCCCTGCTCCCGCCGCGCGGCCATGCACGGATGTGTTCTTGCAGCCAGGGTCTCCCATTTTCTCCACCTCCTGGTACCACGCAGCTTTGTGATGCCTTGGGGAATATTCTCTTTTTACTTTTGGGGACGATAATTCCCATAAGAAACAGCATAAGAAATTCTGATTTTTTGCCAGGGTTCCAAGTTCAGTCTAAAGGCGGTGCCACCCGCGGCGCCGGCGGAGGCCTGCGCCTCGAGCTGCTGCATGGATGGCGTGTTTTCTCCCGCTTACCCCCCGGGCTTGCCTTGCCCCTATGTTCCTCCCACCGTGGTGGCTTGAAATGGGGGGGGCCTTCCGTAAATTTAACAAGAAACAGGCACTTAAGTGCCAACTTAGTGTAAGTGGGTCGTAAAGCCCCCCCACGTAAAAGGCACAAAGGCAGTGCCACCTTCGTGTGGTCCACGAGGCTGTCCGAAGCCCCTCGTCGAACTCCCGGAATGCTGTGGGTCCAGGCCTGAGGCCTCGACCCGCCATGGCGTATCCTTAAGAGCCTTGATGGCTCCGTCGAAATCCGTCGAAACCTCTTCTTGGGGACAAAAAGGTGCGCTTATTGGCCATCCATGTGCCGTCCGCACTAGTAGGGGCGAGGATCTGTGGCTGCAATCTCAAGTTCGGAAACCCTAAACCCTAAACCCTAAACCCTAAACCCTCTGCTGCCACCAGGAAGCTGAGGGCAAGATCGAAGCGATTCTCCGACTGCCGATTTCCCGACTCGCCATGGACACTCAGAGCCTGGAGATCGCCGCGCTCAACGAAGGAGGCCGCCTCAGCCTGCGCTACTTGTAGGGAGTCCCTTCTTAGGGTGTATTGCGCAAGGAATCCCACTGTGCAAAGGGCCAATAGGGTGAGAAAGGGCCATATATATATATATATATACCCTTTAAAGGGGTTTTATAGGATACCTCCCTACATATACTATCTAGAATCCCGGAAGGGGCCATGACTCGGCCCCGTGCTGGAGGCAAAGTCATCGCCCGGCATGCGTTCCAGCTGCATCACCTCATCAAAGCGCCCATGCATACCATAGCCTTCGAACCGTGCCACGGCTCCTCAGTGGTTTCGGACTTGGGAGGGTTTCGGGCATCCATCCAAGTTCCTTTCCATCATAGATCCGCGCATGCTGCGATAATTTGTAGTAGCACAAGTGCGAGAGCTTCTTGGTTTGCGAAGGCAGGCACTTAGCCGCGTGCAAGGGGGGTGGGGGGGGGGGGGGCTGCATGTGCGGAACTATCAGGTGCAACTTGCGGCTGGAGGATCAGAGTGACCAATCCATCTCAGCAGAGGCTTCTCAGCTGCAGAGATCCTGCTATCATTGGCTTCAATCTACAGAATCTACAGGGGCCCCGTGGGAGGGGTGTGGCCTACACAAGTGGCAACAGCACCTCGCACACGCCTTAAGCCGCACAGCCCCCTGCAACAGCTGCAACATGTCCAAGTGTGACAGCCAAGCAAATTCAGCAAAGTCACATCAACCTCGAGATGCGAATTAGGCACACACACACACACACACACACGAAGCAGCCCACGACTCTCCGAAGAAGCTCAGGTACAGGTGCGCCTCATGGGCCTCCACAAGATCAAGCACCAGGATGCCGTGAAGCGCCTGGCGATCGAGAGCACAGAGGAGGCCCTTCCCTGGCACCCAAAGGTCTGCCGTTATCAGCGGGTGTAGGGTTTAGGGTTTAGGGCCCAAAACCTGCCTTAAAAAAAAAGGGACTCCGGATTCCTCCCCGCCTTTGGTCGCACTTGGAGGTTCAGGGGTACTCAGGAACCCCAATTATAAGTTTACTTACAACAGAGTTAGGAGACTTACTGGCTGATAAGTACAGTTATAATTTGGGTCAGAAGTGCCCTGAACCCCCAAGTGCACCTTCTGAACGCCTGGCTCCAGGAAGAGTCTGCCGAGTCTGCGGACGAAGAAGGAGAGGCGAGCATCTCGCTCGTCGCGCGCTCGTTTACGTTGCATTGGGTGAACTCCATCTATGGCATCTCGGCCTTCCAAGAAGTGGGCCGTGTGTTTCTAGGGTTTGGAGGGTTGTAGCTTGGAGGTTCATGGGTACTCATGAGCGAGGGCTATAGGTGCCCTAAAGGAGGCCAGAACCATGTTGCCCTACTTCTTACAACTACCCATGAATCTCCAAGCAGTACTTTGTAGCTTGCTACGGCTTAACGCAGAGAAGTGCAGCCTGCCCCGCTTTCCATGCTGGGCGAAAGGGCTGTGCATGGTGCGACCCATCCTACGGTTTCAAGGTTCTGCTTGAGCAGGAAGTCGGCTGAGCGAAAAGCCAAAGAAGGGTTTAGGCTTTATAGGGTTTAGGGCTTAGGGTTGGTGCTTGCGCCAGCTTCAGTCGGAAAAAAAGGGTTTAGGCTTTAGGGTTCAGGGTTTAGTTGCAAGAAGTATTTCGGATAGGGGCTCGCTGCGTGTGCCCAAAAGCGCCTCTTCGAGGCAAGCTGCACCCGAAGATATCGATCATCATCGCGCGGATGATGGAAGACCGCTTTGGCCTGATTACACAGATGTTGCAGGCCAAGATGCCAGGCCCTCTGAAGGACAGCGTTTAAAGGGTGGCTACTGCAAAGATGCCCTCCGTGGCCTTAAGTCCAGCATTCGGGCATCATGTGGTTGCGAGTTCTTCTGCAGATCAGATGCTTTGGAGGACATTCATTTCAAGTATTTCCGCTTGGGTGATACCCCGCCGTCTCTCGGGCCAATCACAGCATCTCAGCTGCCCTGGGTGACAGCCAGCTTCTTTGCCACGGCCACTCAGCTGCAGCTGTTGAGGTCGCAGAAACCCTTCGCGGCCACCGAAGCGCAGGCATAGAGATGCAGGCGCGTTGTTTGGCTTTGGCAAGGGCGCCTACTGAATCCTAGGCTAACCGTCCGACATATGGCAGACGTGAACTTGTGCAATTGTAGGCACCCGGCTCTTTCACCTCCCATGTGTAACACCTTTCCGGAGAGAGACCTTGTTGAAGGTGGGCTTTCACCTGGACACCAATGCCCACATGGAGCTGAACGTGTCGCATGTCGGGATTCTTTTGGTGTCAAGAGAGCTCAAGACCCCTAGCCACAGAATGTGTATCTTGAATGGTAGTAGGGTTTCCTAGTAGCATCGCGTTGACGACATGCTTGATTCAGGGGGAAGTGGACTCTCTGGGTTGATCATGCCGTGCTGGTTCTGCTTTAGAATGCTGAGGGTCGCAGGGTGCCGATTCAGGAAAGTCTCTGGCACATGGGCTGTACGAATTGAGGCAACCCAAACTAGCCATGGAACACCCTGAGCCATTTCGGCTGGATCTGCGGTTTGCAACACTAGTCACCGAAAGCCTTCTTGCCCAGCAGCCATACCAGCGATGGCGGATCTCAAGGTGCGTACCACAAAGTCCGCCGCGGTGTCACCGGGCGAGGCGATGCAGATGCTTCGTGCAGGGAACCAGCGCTTTGTGAAAGGTACTCCCCAGGCGACAACCACAAGCGATGGCCAGCGATTGGAGCTGGTGGACGATGGCCAGGCGCCGCACACAGCGGTGGTCGGCTGTGCCGACTCACGGGCCCCGGTGGAAGTCATCTTCGATGCCCTGCCGGGCGACATTTTCGTTCTCCGCAACGCAGGCAACACGTGCACCCACGCGGAAGGCAGCATGCTGGGTAGCTTGGAGTTCTGCACTGGGAAGTTGGGCAGCCGTCTCGTCCTCGTCCTGGGCCACACCAAGTGTGGGGCGATCTATGGGGCAACCAAGGCGCATTTCGCAAGGAAGCAGCAAGCAGCCGAGTCCCAGTCTGCACTTGAGGGCCTTCTGGAAGGGCTCGGCGCCGTGGCCGAACAGGCCGAGTATGACATGGGCCCCTTGGCGGACGAGGAGTTCGTGGCCGCTCACGCGGTGCGCGTGAACGTCTTCCACACCATCAACTTCCTGCTGCAGTACAGCAAGGGCATCCGCGAGGGCGTGAAGAGTGGGCAGATTGAGATCCAAGGCGGCGTCTACGACCTGTCCACTGGACTGGTGGAGTTCATCGGCCGATCCCCAAGGCAAGCGGAGCTCCTGAGCGATGCCTCCGCGGCCATTCCGCCTTCGATGCTTCGGATCAGCAAGGCGGGAGCTGCCAAGCGTGGCGTCCATGGCGTCCGCACGGGCGACGACGCATCCGTCGCGCCCGAGAAGGCCCTGGAGATGTTGAAGGAGGGCAACGACCGTTTCGTGACAGGCGCCCCCGCCAGTGTGGCGGCCAACTCACCGATGCGCAAAGCCCTGGTGAAGTCAGGACAGGCACCTCACACCGCGATCGTGGGCTGCGCGGACTCACGTGCACCCATTGAGACTCTCTTCGACGCCATGCCAGGAGAGATCTTCGTCCTCCGCAACGCGGGCAACACCTGCACCCACGCTGAAGGTGCCATGGTTGGCAGCCTTGAGTTCTGCACTGGCAAGCTTGGCTCTCGACTGATTGTTGTCTTGGGCCACACGAAGTGCGGGGCCATTGTGGGCGCCACGCAGACCTACCTGGCATCCAAGGACTCCAGAAAAGAAAAGTTGCCCCCAGGCAGTGCACTGGAGGGACTGCTCCTTGACCTCTCCGGTGTGGCAGGCCAGGCCGCTGACGAGCTCGGACGGGGCGCCACCGCGGATCAGATCGCAGCGCACGCCGTCAAGGTGAACGTTTTCCACACCATGAGCTTCCTGCTGAAGTTCAGTCAGCCCCTCCGCGAGGCGGTGGCCAGTGGCAAGGTGGACCTCCAAGGTGCCATCTATCACCTGGAGACTGGCCGAGTGGAATTCCTTGGCCACAACCCAGAGCAGTCTGCTCTCTTGGCCTCCAAGTCCTCGCTGCCGCCCTCCATGGACCAGGCCTTGCGCAACGCCTCGGTGAGGACTCCCCAGGATCCCCAGATGGATCCCGAGGCCGCGCTGAAGATCATGAAGGAGGGCAACGAGCGATTCGTGGTGGGCAAGCCCATGGCCGGGAAGTTCGATCCCGAGATGCGCAAGGCGCTGGCGACGATTGGCCAGGCGCCCCACACGGCCATCGTCGGCTGCGCCGACTCGCGCGTGCCCCTGGAGCTCGTGTTCGACGTGCTGCCGGGCGACGTCTTCGTCATGAGAAATGCGGGAAACACCGTGACCCACGCGCGAGGCAGCATCGTCGGCAGCCTTGAGTTCTGCACAGCGGCTCTCAAGACTCGCTTTGTGCTGGTGCTGGGTCACACTGCCTGCGGTGCGATCAAAGGTGCCACCGCCACCTACCTCAAAGGAGGGGGAGCCTCTCAGGGCAAAGGGGCCCTGGATACTCTCCTCGCCGGCCTGGCCTCCGTTGCTGAGACTGCGGCGAAGGAGCTGGGTGGCAAGCCTTCGGAGAAGGAGATTGCAGATCACGCCGTGAAGGTGAATGTCTTCAACACCATCAACAACCTCATCAAGGGCAGCACCGACATCCGTGACAAGGTGAAATCCGGCCAGGTGGAGATCCAGGGCGGAATCTACGACCTGGACTCCGGACGGGTCGAGTGGCTAGGACGCAGCCCAGACCAGGCCAAGATCCTCTCCAGCTGAGGCATCTTTTTTGAGACAATTTACGCCGCTGAAGTCGGCAATCCGCACGCAGCCATTGGCAAGATTGTGGTCTCAGGAGCAGTCCGAGCACATCTGCCAAGCAAAGGGGGGCTTGTTGACAACACGCCTGTCGGGCCAGTAGCCACAGAGAGCTACAGAGAGTCAAAGGGGGTTACGTAGGTATCGATTGCTACCCATGGGCCTCCAAAGATGAACCAGACCTCTGTGGGCGTCATCTCTGTGAACAAACCCCTGTGCTTGCGAAGGGTTGAAGAGGGCAATTCCTCTTTCGGCAGGACGAGGCCTACAATAGTAGATCAACCCCTAGGTCCCAGACTCCTACAATAATCGACCAACCCCTAGATTCCTACATCCTTGAAAGAGAGGTCTTCGCAGCCCTTCCATGGCTGAAGAAAGCCCCTGCATTTCTCATTTTTCGTCCAAGGCCGTGGATCCTGAAGTGGTCTTCAGAGACTCTTTAGAGACTTCTTCGGCTTTTCCGCTTTAATTATGGCTCCTTTGCGGGGCTGGATTGTGCCTCCGTGGCCGAAGGAAGACTCTTCCTGACCGCCCAAACCCATCTCCGGTTCAACACGACGTGCCGGAAAATCGGTTGCACTACCTGCCGCAGTTGCCTGCCGAAGTTCCGAAGCCTTACTTCCCTTGCGCGAGTGCGAGAGTCGAAGCCCAAGCTCCAAGGCACGGTGCCAATTTGGGCATCGACCGGATCCGGGTCCAGGGTGAACTGCTTGTTCGCCTGGGCCCCTTACTGGAGGAGGTGCCCAGACGGATATGGACATTCAACTCGCTTCAAATGCTAGTTGTACATGCTGTTTGAGATGTCGAGTATGTTGGAGCTCGTCGCCTCTAGCCTTTAGCAGACCAGAAAGCATATTTTGGTTTGGGATGTTCCCCCTTATAGTCCTAAACAGGGATTCTAATAGGGGGCACTAGAATCCCTGTGAAGGGCTGGAACTTTAAGGGGGCACATCCACATCATATGGTCTTCAAAGGGGACACGATGAACAGCTAAGGTGCCCGTTCTTGGTGGTATGGATCCCTGGCCAGCAAGGAACTTCGATGGGTCCATGTTTTCGGGGGGGAGTTGTGGGACATCACGTCGCGGACCGCCATCAAATCATCGGACTTACTGCGCAAACAGGGTCGACCACTTGGCCGTTTCTTTCACATGTCTCCGTGTGAGCTTTTGAAGCGAAGTTGCCAAGGTGGCATGCTTCTTGAACCCTCCCGACCTTCAGTTGCAGTACTGCGGAGTTGCGCACTGTCCGGAACTCAGCCACTGCAGATGGGCACAGTGATTGGGGTTAACTGGTTGAGCTTATGCTTATGGGTAGATCTCATCTGCAACGGGACCGAGAGACCAGTTTTGCAAGAAGGGGCGCGCTGTCATGCAAGACCAGGGCGATCTTTCATGGCTTGTTTGGCTTACTTCGGCTTCCCTTCCTGGCCTGACACGTAAAGCGAAACCAAGAGATGCAGAGCCAGGGCAATAGGACTTTCGATGACGCCCGCGCGCGCTGTTTAAACGGCAACAAGACAATGCCCCAGTGATGTCAGGAACAAATGCTCCTATCTTCGCAACATAGAGCTGGAAAGATGCCTTGCCAGTAGCAAGCATGTAGGCTTGTAAATGATAAGGAGAAGTTTGTACACGTTTCGTCACATCTGCAATATACTGGGTAGTGTACTGCAGTATGCTCCATTATACATACATACATACATACATACATACATACATACATACATACATATATATATATATATTCTATATATCTGTCGTCTCTCTCTTTGTCTTTCTCTCTCTCTCTCTCTGTCACTCTCTCTCTCTCTCTCTCTGTGTTTATTCACGCACGAAAGGTGTGGAGAGCACTCTGCTGGCGAACCGATTCCAGAAGATGATTGACACAGCCTTGGCAAGCGCCCTGGTTCTTCCACACGTGCTTCTTGGCAGAAGAGGGCCACACTACTAGAATGTATCTAGAGTTCCAATAGTTTAGATCAGCCGCCACCACCGGGTTTTGACAAAGACGGCGAGGGCTAAGCTGGCTAGACATACAGTTTCGCAAGCTCGCCTCGGTGGTTGTTCGAAACTGCGTCCCTTTTGGGGATACTCTTTATCAGAAGTTCTCTAGATTTGCGGATTAATCAGCAAGTTTCTACATGGGACCCCTATCTTCCAACGACTCGCAAAATGTGCCTGTGCCCTTCTGGAGCCACGCAAAACACGATCTCGTCCTTGTGAATCGCCGGCGTCTGGTTTCCTTCATTGCTTGGAGGTTCAGGGGTACTTATAAGTAGGGTTATAAGCAGCGTAACTCTGGTTATGACATTAGGGTACTTATAACCCTACTTATAAGTACCCACGAACCTCCGAGTACTCCTCTTCTGTGTGATAGTGGCACGGGGAAGGCAGAGGTTTGGCCGCGGCGCTGGGCCTATAGGAAGCCGCAACCGTCATTTGGACGGCGCAGGTGCTAGACGTTTAGGCCTTCGAAGTTGGAAATTCGGGTCGCGGCTTCCATAGATTCTGCTTTCCACCCTTTAGCACAGCAGCTGCTTCCCACTGAGAGCTTGCAAAAACTGCGGCTGCAAAAGCCGGTCTTTCTCGAACTTGGGCAGCTGAAAAACAGAAACAGCCTATTTGGCTTTACGGGCAAGACCTCTGAATCCAAAAGATTTCAAACTCTTTGTGTGCAAGAAGTGGTTCACTCGGCAAGGCGAAAGGCTTTACTGCACGTGGAGAAGAGGTGGGGTGTACCCACCCCTCCCTCTCCCTTCCCTCCTCTCAAAAAAGCCAACCCTTCCAGCTAAGGGCCATGGAAAAGCACGGAAGGTTTCGTGTGCAATGTTTATTCTACGTATCCATACGAACAAGCATGAGATCATCATCACCACCATCCCTCACTTGCCATCACCATCGTCATCATCTTCACGCTCACGAGTCTGACTATATCCCCCCTTGGGAACTATTTTTTGTTTATATCATTCCCAAGAGGGTATTAACAATATCATTGTTTATTAAGGTTCTAAGGGGAGTGTAGCCGAAATGTGCAGGTTTTCCCTGCCCATCGGCACAGAGTCGCAGAACGTGGACCGAGCACTTCTGGCGCACCCCAAGCCCATAGGCCTCCGCGGGTCGATGTTTACCCTAAACCCTAAACCCTAAGGGAGTGATCCCTCTGGGGTCTGCTAGGCGGGTGGCAAAAAAAAAACCTAAACCCTAAACCCTAAACCCTAAACCCTAAACCCTAAACCCCCCAAGCCCCGTGTGTTGCATGTCTTTTGCTGTAGACTCTAGTCGGCTTCATTTACCGGCATACCGGTGGATTGAGTCACGAACGCGGGCTCTAGAACTCGAGGGTTGCTGGAATCCTTTGCTGCATGAATATTAGGCTGAGCTGATTCCATATCTGAGCTGCTAAAGCCCTAGAAGCCCTGAAACCCTACAGCGATTGTCTTGACTAGTGACTATAGAGGATCGGAGGTCATGTCACCGTGAGAAATAGATGGCCTACAATCTTGATGGGCGCATACCTAGAGACCATCTTGGATCTGCAAGTGGCTCGCCCGACTTGTCCGAGGGTGAGCGATTAAAGCAATTTGAACCTTACAGGGCTCAGAGGCTTTAGAGGGTTCAAGGTGTAAGGTTCCTGGCCGGCTGCCCAAGTCCGCATGCCAAGGGTTTATCGGCTTCTGCCCTGCAGGCGTCCTGCGCGTCACCGCCGTGCGGGCCTGGAACCTCCTGGAGGGTTGGCCCTTGAAACGTTCTAGAAGTCGGCAGCTCACAGGGTCCGCTGTTAAGGGCAAATAGGGTATATAGGGTATATAGGGTAAATAGGGTAGGGTATATAGGGTATATAGGGTTTAGGGTTTAGGGCTGGAGGTTGCCAGGACGAGCGCTTATAGGCTCTATAACCCCCATAAAACCGCCCTAGAGAGGCCCTTTTTTCAGGGTTGCAGGGTCTAATAGCCACCCACCCCCATAAACAGCCGTAGTAAAGGGCCCCTTTTTTGAGGGTTACAAGGTCGAAGAGCCCATCCGGGTCTGGTGTTTTGGGGCCTTGTGGGGTGGAGGGGTTTTTGAGTTTTTGGTGCTGATAAGAGCTTGAGGGTTTAAGGGTTTTGAGGCTTTTGGCGTGTTGCTGACGGAAACGAGCCCACAAAGTCATATGCAAGCGATATGCGACAGGCTGCATAATGCTGAGCCTCCTGAGCAGCTCGTCAGCTGGACTTCGCTTCATAGCATGGCAAGCAACACGTCACAAGTGTCAAGCAGCGTGCTCGGCTGCTTCACCAGCATTACAGAGGCTCCCGAAGTAGCGGTCAGACAGGGTAATAAGTCACCTGGCCGTGCTGGGGTAGGCTGACAGAAGAATGGGAGCCAGTTTTTTTCAGTATTGCGCTCACACAGCGGGGCTTTTGCCGAGGCCCCTACCTGAGTTTGGCCCTGGCGGGTGCAGAATGGCAGACCTCAGCCGTGCTTCTGGACGGCACTGTTTCTTTGTTGTTTTTGGCGCACTGAGCTCCGGGTTGTTAATTCTGGCTCTTTCGGTGGAGAAGATGGATACCACGCGCAGTCGCGGCTTGTCAACAAGCAAGCCTCCCAAGAACAGCCCCCCGTGCTTGCTTTCCATCTTGGGCTTGGGTTGAGAGGACACATCTCGCCGGAGTCTTTCTGGGTTTGATTTTAGGGCTAAACCCTAAACCCTAATTACTCAAAAGCCCTAAATTAGTTAGGACTTAGCGTTTCGGGGGTGGGGGTGTGTGGGTTGGTCGCCCTGCTGAGTTCTTGTGATGTTGCTGCACGACTCCTCGCTGCCATGGGTCCCTTAGGCTTCACACGCCCCCGCAAACTAACCAGGATGGGCTATTTCGCCCGAGAACTCCCCATAAACACCCCTATAAGGGGCCCCCGTTTTCAGGCTTATAGGGTCTAATAGCCCATCCTGGAGATCACGTAATCTTGAAGCCAATTCAAGCCAGCCCCGAGATTTTAGAATGTTTTTTTTTTTGGAACTTAATGTTGGGGATGAATTCGTTCCTGCAGTTGTCACTCATGAATACTCGGTAACAAGATCACTTCTGCTACTGCAAACAACGGCTGTAGACGGGGTTGTTGCATCGTTGATGCCAAGCAGTTGCTGTTGCGTGCATGCTGAGATTCTCGAGCGTGAACCCCGAGTGGGATGAGACCCATGACTTCCTTGTACCCGGGCCTCAACAGGGTTTGGGTTTAACTCAGTGGCGGTAAGGCTCAGAGGCGGGCTGTAAGGTCGGAAATTGATTATAGGCCGAGGCTGGAATCTTGAGGATTGTTGCCATATGCATACTTGACCTGTGGGCATTGGGGAGGCTTGGATGCAAAAAGGAACATTCAGGGCTTCTGGGGGTTCAGGAGCACACGGATGTGTTTCCAAACTGCAACGGGCCCTTCATAGCTGTAAGAATAGGGTACATAGGTCCCCTTAAGCCCTAACCTTAGGGATACTTGGGAATAACTTTTCGTTTTTGAGTACTATCATTCCTAAGAAACAGCCAAAAATAGACTTTTGGCTAGGGTTCCAAGTTCAGTTAAGAAACCCGAACCCCACCTCCAGAAGTGACCACATGGATTTCCTGCGGTGTCAGGGTTTAGGGTTTAGGTTTTAGGGTTTAGGGTTTAGGGTTTAAATAGGGTTTAGGGTTTACACTTCTTGCGGCCGTACTTGTTTGCATCAGGTCTATGACAAGCGCCAAACGCTGGCCATCGAAGTCGTTGACACAAACTCGCTTTTTCTGCGCACTGTGGCTTGGCATGTGACGGATGTTAAGTCAATCTACGTTGAGCTGGCTGTGGGCTTGGCGACATGGGCTCAGGTCATTGGGTACGCCGATCCCATCATGGTCACTGAAACAGTGCCTCATCATTAAAAAGAGAGATTTGAATGCACGTGCTCACGCGCCTGCAGCCTTGACATGTGTTTGGATATGCGGTGGTAGCCGGCGCACTTGAAATCATGCCTGTCTGCCGGACCAAGCTGGCGAGGAGGCGCACTCGGACAGGCCCATCGCGCTGTTCGACTGCTTGGAGAACCCAAACACTCCCAAGGCTCCCCCACGGGGATTGGGGGTTGGTACTTCCCAGAGAGATCGATATCCTCCAATTAAAAAACATATGGAGCTTGTTGCACGAAAGGGAACTCCATTCTACAGGCGTATTCCTTAAGTCCCGTTTGCAAAAGAGAGTTCATAGGGGCCAGATGGCGTAAGGATGTAGGGTTGGGCTACTCGTACCAAGAACAACCATTAGTAGCTGTGTTGCATAGTTGGATACATACACGTATGTGGATATATTCATATATGTGTATTATTCATTTATTGTTTTTTCCAATTTACGTTTATGCTGATGTTCATATTTTCTACATACCTATATGTATTGAAGTTCAACTGTTTTTGTTTGCGTATCTACAACTGTCCCTGAGTCCCTTGGTCTCACATGGTTTTGCGGCACCTTTCGCAGGCGGCATCTCACCGTCACGCCGCTGGAAACGTGGAGCTACGGCTCGAGTGGCTGAACTTTGTGAGGCAGTCAGGGTCCACCGTAAACCCTAGGGTTTAGGGTTTAATTAGGGTGCATGGAATTGGCAAGCCTGTTGCAAAAAGGGTTTATATACAAAAGGGTTGAGGGTTCAGGGGTTCATGCTCACGTGAGGTGGCATCGCGTTGGGCTTGGGTTGCACAGAATTGGGAGGACAACTGTATAACCTGAAGAAGAGGCACTCCTGGGTCAAGGAATGGGAATCCACGCTTTTTCCTCTACGGAATTATACGGGGTATCTATATGTGGGCCTCTGATCTTTATTGAAGGGACAACCTGCATGTCGCACTACGCCAGGACCCGCTGCCGAACTGGGTGCACCCTAAATCCTAGACCCTCCACGATAGCCGGGAAGATGAGGTGTCTTCGTGGAATTGATTTAAGGGCAGTCTACTGAAGGTTACATTATCCCAAACCCCACACCGAGTGGGGATGGCGTGACAGCAGGCACGGACGCAAGGGTCCAGACGGTTGCTGCGTGCTGCGAGTGAAGTTTGATGTGGCTTGGCACTTGTTTGGCACATGCAACACGCTGCAAGGCACTCAGACCCCTTGACGCAGTTTAGGGGTCCCATTTGGCATATAGGAGAAGGGCCAGCTCATGGTTTGATCAGTTGAGAAACGGATGCATCAGGAAGTGGAAGTTCCTACCCAGCTCCTCAATCTGCGGAGCACCAGCGAGCTGGACCCCCTTCGAGTTCGCATGCGCGCCACTGTCGGAAAGGCACCGGAGAACTTGGGGTTTGTTTCGAGCTGTTCCTCACATCAGGGTCCCTCTCAGCAAGCTGATTCGAGCAATCGGAAGGTCTTTACACTGCGTGTGATGGGCCCTGAAGGTCAAAGATTCGACGCCCGAGGTGGCATGGTTTTGGAAACCAGACCATCCTGGTCAACAGGTGGGGAGATGCGAAGACACAGACTGCGTGGCACTTGTGTCGTGCATTTGCTCCTATCCCGACGGTAGATTCGGACAGGAGCCCAAAACTATTGAGCTGGACATCGAGAATGTGCTCTACATGCTCATTCACAAAACTGATCTGGAGCAGAGTTCTCAAGCTTCAGTGATACCATAGCTTGTATACAGTAGTGATCGTAAGTCTAAGTAGAAACATGGCAAAGGCAAGAATCGCCGCTATGCCGGCGCTTGTACCCAAACCGTGTAAGCACCAGCCACTCCAAGAGCCTTCCAAGATGACCCCCCAAACACCACTCTCTTGCATTCATATGTTCTTACACTCTTTTTTCTTGCATGCTTAGTTTTCTTACCTTCTGATGTTCTCAAATTACTAAAAAGGTAGTATATTCTTACATTCTTATTGTTACATTGCTATATGCCTATTTCTTATGGTAAACAAGTTGAGAGAGAAAAAAGCACGGCCGACTTTTGAATGGGCTTAGGTTTGAAAAGGGTCTAAGGTTTAGGGTTAGGGTTTAGGGTTTGGGGTTTGGGGTTTGGGCTTGGGGTTTGGGGTTTGGGTTTAGGGTTTAGGGTTTAGGGTTTAGGGTTTAGGGTTTAGGGTTTAGGGTTTAGGGTTTAGGGTTTAGGGTTTAGGGTTTAGGGTTTAGGGTTTAGGGTTTAGGGTTTAGGGCCATGGAAGGTGCACGTGACCTAGGCAAGAAGAGATTTCGCGCCTGCCGCGATGCGAGAACCAACTGGCGATACTTGGCAAAATTCCGCCCGACGTGCGCGGGGAGTCCGGTGCACACGTTGCCAGGGCGAGAGCGTTTCGGGCACGCGGAAACACCGAGAGCATCATGTTCGCGATGGGTGAAGGCATGGCGCCCAGGCAGAGGCAGGATTGTCGGGCCCCAGGCGAGCACCTGGACATCGCGGCGACTTTGGCTCTTCTAAAGCAAGTTTCAGACGAGTAAAGTAAAGTTGTTTTCTATCAATAGCAATAGTAGTAGTCGTCGTCGTAGTAGCAGTAGTAGTAGCAGTAGTAGTAGTAGTAGTAGTAGTAGTAGTAGTAGTAGCAGTAGCAGCAGCAGCAGTAGCAGTAGCAGTAGCAGTAGCAGTAGCAGTAGTAGTAGTAGTAGTAGTAGTAGTAGTAGTAGTAGTAGTAGTAGTAGTAGTAGTAGTAGTAGTAGTAGTAGTAGTAGTAGTAGTAGTAGTAGTAGTAGTAGTAGTAGTAGTAGTAGTAGTAGTAGTAGTAGTAGTAGTAGTAGTAGTAGTAGTAGTAGTAGTAGTAGTAGTAGTAGTAGTAGTAGTAGTAGTAGTAGTAGTAGTAGTAGTACTAGTAGTAGTAGTAGTAGTAGTAGTAGTAGTAGTAGTAGTAGTAGTAGTAGTAGTAGTAGTAGTAGTAGTAGTAGTAGTAGTAGTAGTAGTAGTAGTAGTAGTAGTAGTAGTAGTAGTAGTAGTAGTAGTAGTAGTAGTAGGTTTTTCCCCAGTAGCGTGCCGCAAAACAAGATTGGCCACACCTTAGCCAAACATAGCCAAACCTTAAAAAAATAGTTTGGCCAAACCTTTAAAATCCTTCACAGTTGTCGCCGTAGTTGTTGCTGTGGCTGCCGTGTTTGTCATGATACTGATATTTCCGTTTGCCCCTTGGAAGGCAATCCAAAGTCGAAGCATTACCAAGTTTTGGGCGGTTGGCATTATATCAGCCAGCATGGCAACACGATCGGAGCGCAGGATTCTGGAAACCTGGACCTTGAACTTCTCGATGGCCATGTGCTAAGTTGGAAGACGTTGCTGCGCGGATTCCCTCCAGCATGCACCCCGGGCTGTCTTGGTCAGCAGACTTGCTGAGGCAACGGCAAAGTCCTAGGCTCTTCGAGTCTCGAGCTCCACAAGGCCTTGCCGCCCAGAAGAGAAAGCCTTAGTGCGGCAGGGTCTTTGCCCATGCCCATGTCGATCTGACCCGCAAAAGTGGCTGTTGCACAGGAGCTGGAAGCATCAGGACATGCCGTGTGCCTCGCATGCATGGAGAGCCAAGATTGAAAGGGCTTTCAGCCTAACATTCTGTCGTGCGGGGGTGCTCATAGATCCCCAGCGATGTTTTCGTTCTTGTAAAGTGTCACTCGGATGGCAGCTCGGTGCGCGCACGATTCTATTCGCTATTCTCTCCATGCAAACCCACACAGCCAACCACATAGTTGATTTCTTGGCGATCTGCTAGCCCTTGACTTCCGGCTAAGATTCGCGGTGCCTATTTGGGGGTTTCCGAAAATCAGGGCGGCCTCATGTGGGTCCTTTTTCTCAGGGAATCCTACTATTTGGGGTCGATTACAGGGGACCCATATTTTCGTAAACCCTAAACCCTTAAAAAAAAACCCTAAACCCTAAACCCCCTTGACGAGTCAGCCGGGACACCAAAAGGTGGAGCGACCAGCGCCCGCATCGCAGGCTACCGCTGCGACATGGTTCAGGCGCGCCTGCTTCATGGAAGATCCTCACCGGGTTTAGGGTTTAGGGTTTAGGGTTTAGGGTTTAGGGTTTAGGGTTTAGGGTTTAGGGTTTAGGGTTTAGGGCCCCTAACGCCCGAGAAACATCGAAGAGAGAGACGGAGCCTGAGACGCCATTGTGGTTGCATCGGTAGCCCTGAAGCCCTAAACCCTCAAGTCGGTCTCGAGCTTCAGCAGCCTTTGCAGACAGAGTTTTTTTTTTGCCACCATGTCGACATGGGAGGGTGCCGGGCGGGTGAAGAATATTTTCGAGGATGCGGATGAAGACAAGGATGGCCAGCTGAGCAAGGAGGAGGAGCTGAGGGAGCTCTTGCGGAAGACCGGCTCAAACTGGGATGATGAGACTGCTAAACCCTAAACCCTAAACCCTAAGAGAGGTCAGCTAAGCGGGTGGCAAAAAAAAAAAACCCTAAAAAAACAGAAGTGGCAAACTCGATGTGCGCCAGTTCATCGACTTCATGTTCAGAGGTGCCAAGAAGGACCGAGAGGAAGCAAAGAGGCCCATCGTGGTGATGAGGATCATGGCCATGAACAGTGCATACTATGACGACCTCAAGGAGCAGATGGATGACTGGTTCGCAACTCATGGTTTCAAAAATGTCGATCTGAACCACCTGGATGAGTGGCCGAAGGCATTGCCCTACTGCATGGAGAGCGAAGTTGATGTTGTGATGATCAGCGCGGACGCCATCAGACAGGCAGTGCAAGATGGTCGCACGCGTGACGGTGTTGTTAAAATGTGGATTTGAAAAAGCCGACATGTCTGAGGTGGAGTTGTTCAAGGTCATGCAGTTTTTGCAAGAGATGAATATCAAGAGCAAGAATCCAGTCATCGCAATCCAGCCTTGGCCGAAGGACGTTGGCTCCAAGGACGCACTCAATGATCGAATTCACAACCAGCTCACAGAGCGGAAAGATGGCCTGAAGGAAAAGCTCAAGAGCTATGGAGCAAAAGTGGCAGGGAAGGAACAATAGAAGCTGCACTGAAAGCCGAAAAGGAGAAAGACATTGCAAAGCTCAGACCTTTCTTTGAAAAGATCGTCGAGAAGGCGAAGTGGGATGCGCAGAAGGCAGAGAAGGTCATGGTGAGAAGAAGCCTCTGCACAGAGACCTTGGTACATCGAAGCCTTCATCCATGGAACCCTAGAGACAGAGATCGGCGTCGAGATGTTTCCAGAGGATGAGATGACAGTCCTGTTGGATTTCGCCTTTGGGCATGACGAAATCGCAAAGTCATCCAGAACTTGGCGAAAGTCGCAAATTTGTTACCTGAAGGACCAGCAGCAGGTGATTGAAAAGTTGCGGAAAATCAGTTTGGTGCACCCACGTGGTTTACAGGTAGCTATCCACAACAAGAGCCTCAACAAGACGCTGAAGAAGAACAAGCTGCTGCCATGTGGCGCTAGGTCCTTGTCAATTCTGGAACTCTGGGGCCGACATGTACAAGGCCAGCCACTCCGGTGATTTTTGACCTGCAGCTCTGAGAGCCCGTTTCCGTAAGGGTGCAAGTGCCTGGGCCTATATAGGCCTAGACTCTCCCAAACATGGACCTACAAGACTGTCCTATAAAACCAAGTTTGTTTTCGGTATTTGCCCTTCGCGCACGTGCAAATCGCACGTCATGTCTGGGATCCCGAGAACTCGGGATCTAACATTCCAAGGGCACGATTGCGTGTCGTTCTCCACTTGGAAGGAAACCCTTAGCCATACCACCAGGCCAAATCTGCCCGCCGGAAAGCAAAAATGACCCTGCAGTGCGGCGTGTCTGCTTGGCTGGTGGCAATTCAAAAAACTGTAAACCATCCTAAACCCTAAACCCTAAACCCTAAACCCTAAACCCTAAACCCTAAACCCTAAACCCTAAACCTAAAGTGCAATGGCAAACCACAGGCCGGCCTTGCTTGGCGGATGTGGATGTCTCCTTCCAGGGCCTTCGACTCTTGGCGACGTTGATGCCATAAGGTCGCGACACTGCGCTGGTGGAAATTAACATAGTCAACGCTACTTGGAAATTCCCCCCCAAAAAAACACTGTAACTACCATGACTACTATGTGTGGATGCATATTTTCGGGGCTGTCGAGAACAAAGTATCTCCTGTTGAGGCAGCTAGTTGCACTGCGAGCTTCACTTTTCGGTGCCCAGCCTGGCATTTGCAGAACAAATTCAGACATGCCACATGTGTTGCGGTTAGCACGTACCACCACCGTTTCTTCTACTCCGCCACCACCACCACCACCATCACTGTAGCCAGCTCCGCAACAATGCGGGGCGCGCATGCCCTCGACGTTTGATTAGTTTATTGTGACTTTGAAGAAGTGTCCAGCGTGTGCAAGTGTAGCGTGGTCGGCTGCGCAGCACGGCCGAACCATGGCGGGGATTGGTGAACAGAGTCTGGCCCTGGTAGCTTATTGAGCTGCAGGCGATCACGCTTAGAAATTTGATAGCCTATCCGGCGCATCTCCCTCATGAGGTTCGTCCGGCGACCTTGCGCAGACAAGTACTCCAAGCTGCCGGGCTCACCATTGGAGTTGAGGATGCTTGCTGTGTGTAGCTCGCTGAGTTTGACTTGACATGTTGACATGGCCGGTTCACAGTTTTGTTGCAACGTTGGTTGGGGCAGCCTCTAGACTCTAGGGCTGGCTCTTGCGGCCTGAGCTTTTTGCGAGGAAGCAGTTAAGGGACACGTGCCGAGGTAACCGGTGACTGACAGCCGTCGATCTCCACGGTCTGATTTTGGGCACGCCTCCGCCAATCAGCGCTGATGGCCAGGCGTACATGTCTTGCAGGCTCGAGGCTCTTGTCTTAGTCCGCATGTGCAGCTAGCTGCTATCTCTACGAAATCGGCAAAGGGAAGAGCCTGCAGCCTGCAAGGCGTGCGAAAGAATCGTCGCATTGCGAAGATGCACTCACTAGTTGCGCCACCTGTGGTTTTGCAATGTGCATAACTTGGTCAGGGCTGGGTGCCCTCACCGCAGCTTAATTCTGGGGCCAGACAAGGCTGCATCGGCAACAATAGGCGTAGTAAACGAGGGGATTGACGTGCCCAGCCGGTTTGATGCTCGTGCATTGTCTGGCCCGCCATGATTTCGTGGCTTCTTTGCATCTCGCGCGGGACTGCCAGAGCTGCTGACATCGACCGCGTGCTCCAGACCAGAGCCGCGCAAAGCATCACGACATCCGGACAGACGTATACAGTACCACGCAAGCTGGGCCATGCTCTGGTGGCAAATCTCCGCATAGGAGATGTCACGTAGGCAGAGATGGAGAATCGAATCAGGCTTGGATGGCGAAGTCCTGTTGCTTGCTGAGGAGGTGCAGCAAAGACGGGCAGCACAGTGACACGTGGCGCCTTAGAATAAGGCTCCTTTGGTTGTCTTTGAACGGGGGTAAGCAGCTTTTCCAGAAAGAGTCAGCAAAGTGTATAGGTCAAAAAGAACAAGCACGGAACAGCAAACGCTGAAGTTACGGGAGCTGTGGCTGATGCAATTTCTCTGATGATCGGGACGAGTACAGACTCTTTCATGGCCATGAGATCATGCACGTGATTTACAAACATGCCTGGCGATCCCGCCAGGCTTCAGCTGTGCGTAGACATTAGTTCTGGCAACCCCGCCATTCGACCGAAAGGCTGTCAGCCAGATGGGCTGGGGCACAGCGCATAGACAAAAGCCTCTTAACCGAGTTTGAATTGCTGGAGATACTTGTTCAATTTGAAGCTTGAGAGTTGCGCTGGCTGCCACAACATGTGGCAACAGGGAGAAGCCTCTTCCCATGCCTCCGTGTGCTGCTTTGGCACCTGGCATGTTTGGCCATTCTTCCTGACGCACATGTACTGTAGTTACAGTACAGGAAATATGAAGCCTCTACTCAGCAGGCTTCACGACGATGCCAATCAGTCACCAGCTGTGGCAAGCGCATCGCAAGTGTAGCTGCTGAGGCCTTGTAGGAGCTTTTCAAACTCACCCCGTCGTTGGTAATCCGTTGATATCCCTGCATCTCAACTCGGGGCCTCATCAAGGTACAAACCGATTGCTGAGGCCTGGATTGACGACTGCAGCGCCGGCCTGCCCAGCCTCTGCTTTTCTTCAGCTTTCTGGAACAGCTTTAGCACCTGCGATTGTAGGGTTTAGAAAAAATAAGGGGGTGGATCGTCTCCGTTTGCCCGGCCCATGTGTGCTGCGAGTAGATGCTTTTGCCCACTGCATCCATCCCGGAAGGGTGGTAACATCCATGCTACCAGCACATGCATTGCCGACTGCATCCATGCCCGTAGGTATACAGTACATCCAATTCCGAAAACGCAGGAAGAATTCCACGTAAAAAGTCGAGGTTTTACCGCGCTTTTTTGCTTCGAACATGTACATGGCGGCGACGCACATGTGAACCATGCAAAAGTCTGTCACCATTGGCCCCGCCATGCTTTTCAGCATGTGACCACAGTGAAACGGGGCAAACGAACCCGATCCAGCCTGCGTTTATGGTTTAAAGTTGCTAGGATCAGTGCTGCAGGCCCCAGGGTTAGCGTTATCAGGTTGCGTAGCCTGGTAGCCATTGGGATGTTCCCCCTATACTAACAGTCCTTGGTAGGGATTGTCGTACCCCCTACCATAATCCCTACCTAGGAAGATCAGGGATCGAAAGATCGAGGCTGCGTGGGCTGAGGCACCTGGCCTAACCCGCAGATGTGTCAACGCGCATCATACAAAGGGGTGCCCTTGACAAAGCGGACTCTGACGACTCCCGCAGGGACTTGAACCTACATGTCGCCGCTTCAGTGCGAAAGGTGGTTATATACATATGTATGTACTTATTTATGTTTATTTATATGTGTATATATATATATATATAGAAACTGTTATTTATACTTGTTGTTCCTAGTTGATTATTTCTAGAACTTCTGTCTGCATTGCTATATTTATTGGTATTGCTGCTAATCCTGTTATTGTTATTACGATTATGATTAGAGCTTCAGATTGCATAAACAGCTTGTATTGCTCCCTTGCACGGCCGTCCAAAACGCACAGCTTCCCTAAAGACCGTTTGTGCCTTATAGGAAGACCCTTAACTGAGGCCCTCATACCATTGTACTTGTACATCGTTCATTTTATCATTTTACTGCTATATGATTATAGTAATAAATGATTACACAAGTATATGAGTATAGTACTATCTTACTACAGGAATACATTAGTATATTGATATATGAATATACTGTTAAATTGCTGTTGAGCATTGTATGCTATGATATCATTATATCAATCCCTCATTATATGATTACACCAAAAGTGTTTTTAAACATTTGTCATGCTTTCTATCTTTATGTGTTTCATATGTTCGGACTGTTCGGTTTTTTATGTGTTTCACATATTTTATGTGTATATATTAGTCTATCATCATATTGCAATATCATATGGTTTTATGTATGGTTGTACTATACAGTGTTTTTTTGTATTCTTGGGTTATGATATCATTATATCATATTCGTATTCTTCTCATGTCAATGTAGTCTATGTTAATTTGTCACTATACTAGGGTATCATGTCATTATGACACAAGAATTTTGTTTGATCTTGTATTGGTTTCATATGATTCATATGCTCTATTATGTTATATATATATATGTATATAGCCATTTTGGCTCAAGCCATTTTGGCTCAAGCCATTTTGGCTCAAGCCCGGAACGGTTAGAGGAATGCCCAGAATCCACCGTGGGTCACGGTCAGAACAGTGAAACATGCAAGCGATAATGACCGCAGACTGGCGATGCAACCGTTTGAAGTTGACTTCATTGTTGTCAGGCATAACACCAAGCACATTGATTTCCTGGGTGAGCCATGGCAACATTTACGACACCCTGAAAAAAGGGCATTGTCAGCTGCTGCGTGATGCCGCGTGATATGAGTCGTACACCCATGGGGCATCGATATGGTCGAACGTGCACACCGCCCCGGCGTGGGGCAGGAAGTGGGACATATGGCGGTCCAGAGGGGGCTGGAAACTCTCCGGTGATACTGGATAGCAGATTTGGCGAGGACCAGCTAACGACGCCTGAGTCTACGCTTGCGGGAGGGGCACATGGGCTCACGCCCGCGTGCATGGACGCGAACACCTGTCGTCCGATTTGTTGTTGCGAAATCGTCCCCAGCGAAGATCCTGGTTGGAGGTGGCCTTGTTCTTGCCGCTTGCAATTGCATTTGAACTGCGCTGCGCAGTTGAGGTTGCGAAATCACCGTCCGCAGTGTCCACACTGCCGAATGGCTTGGCCAGGGGTTGAGGCAGACCGGGAGCTCCAGGTTGCTTGCGAGGAGCATGGTGTGCATTTTTCTCGGAACTGGCAGCAGCTGCCAGTGCAAGCCGAGCCGGAGGACCCGGTAATACCGGCTGAGCCGCACGACCTTGTTGTGCTGTGTTGTGAACGCTTGATTGCATTGAACATCAGCGCTGCAAGTCGGCGTATGACATGGGCTCCAATTCAACAATTTGAAACGAACGACCTTGGTTGTAGAATGCCCGTAGGTTGGATAGGAAACTGGGTTTGCAATTCGTGCGGTCGAACTGTGGACCAACATGATGATCGGCTTTCTGCTTTGCGTGTCAACCATGCATGTGCTTTGCAAAGTGGCTGCCGTTTGTGCTTGGATTTACAGAACGGATCATACGCATGGATGTGCGGTGCCACGGGCCAATTGTCGGACGAACCGCGCCAAACTGATGCACGGGCACCCATGCCTTTGCAGTCATCCAGGACGGCAAATTGCGTTGCGAACTTGGGTTATTTCGCTGGTCTCCCTCCGACAAGCAATGATGAAGCCACTAATTCTTTTTTATATTGCCCGCTGCTGTTGCATGCGGGAGGGCTGTTACAAGACGAGGTTGTGAGAGCATGGGCGAATGCAATTCCGTGGTTTGAGGCTGCGTGTCAGTGTTTGCGCAATCAGACTTGTGAACTTGGTTTTGTTGCACAAGCATATGCCGAGTTGTTGCAGATTGCGTGCCAACATGATGCTTCAATGATGCAGTGCTTCAGTCGAACTGGGGATGCGGCTGCCGCGCAGCACTTAGCACAACTTGCTACCCAGTCGCATGATGTCGTCGGGCTCGCAGTTGTTCTCCCTGGAGTTGTTGACGTGCACGGTCATATCCCAAACCAACTTCAGGATTTACTGTTGCAAGTTTTTGGCGGTCTACGGCTTGCGTCAGATCTTGAGTCAGCGGTGACGGCATTTCGGAACACAGGCAGTTGGCCCGTGGATCTTTCAAGCCTTTCATGTGACTCGAGTGGTCCAAGCCACGTTCGACAACAGATGTTGTCCGGACCACATCGGGTTCCAAATGGCCACGCAGGTTTGTCACTTGCTCATGGACATGCTGCAGCAAGCAACTCGCGGTTCAATGCTTCAGCTTGTAATCGGAGTTCCTCTGAGCCCAGTCGCGGGGTAATGATGCAGGAACCTTCAGTTGATGCCGTTGATCTTGCACCTGTGCTGCGTATCAACTTGCATGAGCATGCCTGTTCGCGCCATGTCACTTCACGTTTTGGTGCTTTGCGTCGTTGTTCCGTGTGCAACATGAGGCTCGCCCGCGAGGTCTCATATTTTCGATGTGGGCATGGTTGCCGTTTTGCAGCTTGTGTTGAATGCTTCCAGGCACCCGTGACACCGTGTGTTTTGGAGCAAGACCAGACGTTGGGAGGCTCTGTGCCCAGCCGTGTCCGAGCCGCGCCGGACGCGGGAGAGGAGGTCGATAGCGCCGCCTTGGGAGCCTCTGTTCCTGTTGCTTCCGTTCCACCTCAACTTACACGCTTCACACGTTTCGTTTGTGAGCCTCGTGACGAATTTGCCCGTAGGATTCGTGAGATGATTGACTCTGGCCAGTTTTCTGGCATTGGACGACCAGATCTCCGCATGGAAGGCCCTACTGCTTGGGGAGTGTGGCTGCGCATTTTTCCCGCCGCCCCTCCACGTGATGCTAACAATGGTCGTGGTGCTCGTGCTCGTTGTGGGGTTTTGTATCATGTGTCCCAAATGACTGTGTTCTTCCATGGTGACGAACAGGTCATACGTGAGTCATTGCTCCCTCTCTTTGAATCATGGACTTACACTTCTATTGATGTCATGCCACAGCGTATCCCCGAAGCTCCTGCGTTGCCCGCTCCGCCCCCTCTTGAGGTTTCGCAGTGCACACCTGGAAGCAATTCGGGGGAACTTCCAAACTCTCTGGCGTCTGGGGTGTCTGTCGTGACGGGCCATCGCACAAACTGTAACGTTGTTCCGGAGTGTGATGGTCAAATAGAAAGTGGATGCATTGCGTCATTGCAAAACTTGCCACGCCTGGTTGAGGAATTGATTCAAGGTCAGGCCCAATTGCAGCACACGCTCTCCACACTGTCCAGTCGCTTGGATCTTTTCTGTTCGGTTCCTCCGGTCTCCTCTGCTTCGAATCCCGTTGCGCAGGGTGCGCAAGCGCCAGGTGCTCATCCGCCTCCGGGTCAGCATGACGTTCGCGTGCCACCGGTTCCTCCGCCTCCTCCTGCGCGCTACCCGCGCCCTGTCTCGCGTGAACATGCCGACACCAACCACGCCGAGCTCGCGCCGGATGTGCGTGTTTGTCGACGCGCCAATTGCCGTAATTCATGTGCAGATGCATGTCGCACGGGTTTTTGCCCTTCTCATTGCTCCAGCCGACGTTGTCCATGTAATGTCAGCTTGGCAGATGCCCCTGCTGCGGCCGCTGTGCAGTCGCCCCGCTCCTGTCGACGGCCGGGTTGTCAGGGTGTTGTTGCCACTTCCTGTCGAACAGGCTTCTGTGCTGCCCACTGCTTCAGCCCGCGTTGTTCTTGCACACAAGGGCCCCCGCGCCATTGCGGCACGTCGGTGCCCACGGCTCCACCAACCCAAGCGTGCCGCCGTCATGATTGCGACTCTGAAGTTGGACCCAATTGTACTTCAGGCTACTGTGCGTTCCATTGTTATAGCCGAAGCTGCGCATGCAGGACACGGCTGCACTCTGTCCCTGCGCAACCTCCTGATCGTAACGCACCGCCGCGTCGACGCGTGTGTAGCCATGACAACTGTTGGGTGTTGGTCCAGTCGAACTGCCGAACAGGATTTTGTCCGCAGCACTGTGCTCGGTATGCTAGCACAAGTTGCCCTTGTCGCGATGCCCCTCTCACACGTCGTTGCCGGCGTCATGGCTGTGCCGGGCTTGTTGCGGACGCTTGTCGGACCGGCTACTGTGAAGCACACTGTGTCAGTCCTAGGTGCTGCGGTCAGTCGAACAGTCGTTCTGGGCACCCGTGGACCTCCTCCGTTATCGAGGCCCCTTTGCGGCGCTATCTCTTTGAGATGTGTTCAGGCCTGCCCGATCATGTAGATCATCTTCCTGCTCATATTCGCACATCTCTTGAAGAGTTACGCACCTTTGCCCAGGAAGATGTGTCGGGAAACGGGGGCGGCCCTCGTCGTATTCGTCAACACCGCGGGGGCCGCACTATCTGAGTTTGGCGCTTTTGAATTGCAACCGACTGTGGTTGCCGAGCGGATCGGAGCACGCTGCTTTCCATGGTTTGACCGGCTTGTTGCAAACTTGGAATGTTGACCTTGTGTGCGTCCAGGAAACGCGTGCCCCTGCCGGAGCAGCTTTACCAGTTGATCAGCCATACGTGTATGATGGGCCTCAAGGTGTTCATGGCTGTGAGGCTGGTTTCCTTGTCAATGGGGCGTCATCCTCGGCGCCAGTTTCGCTCCACGCTGCCTCATCACGTTTGAGATGGAGATGCTTCGCCCCGCAATCCAATACGACTCATCCCATTTTGGTTTGTAGTTTTTACGCGCCTCACGTTGGCATGCCTGTGGCTGTGCGTGTGAACTTTTGGCACGAACTTCGCGCGTCAATTCAGGAAGTCCTTCGCCTCCACCCGCGTTGCCAATTATTGCTAGCTGGCGATTCCAATGTGTATATGGGAGAAGTTATGGGGTCGGCGCGTGAGCGCTCCTGCGAGCGGCAGCTCCGTGAGCTAATCCGTGGCATTTGTGCAGACTTTCAACTCGTTATCGCGAATCCCTTCGGGGTCCCAACCCATCGCTCTGGCTCAAGCATCGACTTGGTTTTGGCGTCGCAAACGTTGGACGTTTGTGATGTTGTTGTGCACGATGGTTCTTCATGCGGGTGCCCTGAAAGCTCATGCTGTCCCGTCCTCGGCAGCGACCATAAGGTCCTCACCTTCCAAGTGAAGGTGTCCGCGCCTCCTGTTGAGGATGCTTCTCCAAGTTGGCCATCGGTGCGTGACTGGGGTCCAAGCATTTGCAGCTTGCGCCCGCGTTTGTTGGCCTGGTCTGAGAAGCTCCTCCGCCTACGTCGAGAAAACCCATGCTGTACTGTTGCTGATCGTCGTGTGATGTGGACATCCTTTACGGTGAATTCGTTTCCATGTTATGGCATTCGTGTGCTCCCACCTTGCGTCCTAAACGAGTGGGCCGCCGTCCTCAACCGGATTGGTGGGACGGAGAATGTTATGATGCCATGGTTGGTAAAAATGCTGCGTGGCGTCGTTGGTGTCGCGAACGCACCCCTGCTGCCCAGCAGGCCTTGCGCGCGAAAAGGCTCCACTTTCACCATTTGGTTCGCAAAAAGAAAGCAATCTTTTGGCACACGTGGCTTCAATCCCAGGAGCACGCCGCGCAATCGAATCCGTGCATTGCTGCCAGGAACATTCGGCGACAACTTGGAACCTCCAGGCACTCTGTCCCGCGCTGCATGCGTTCTGCGTCGTCCGAGTGCAATTACGTTGAGGGTGAAGCTTGCTTGGAGGCCTGGCGTTGTCACTTTCGCGATGTCCCGGCTTCCGCCGTGCCAGGCCCTCGCGAGAGCGGGGTTGATGCCCAAGATCTGGCACCTCGTCTCCGTCGGTTGCGTGAACAGATGGCTTGTACGACCGGCCGGTTGGATTATCCGTTCTCTGAACCCGAACTTGTGCAAGTTCTTCAAGAACTGCCCTTGAAGAAAGCGCCGGGTCCCGACGGCTTGACATATGAGGCCTTTAAGGTTGATGACGGCATTCTTCGTTCGGCGTTATTGTCTTTCTTTGAGCTCGTTCGGTTCTGGGCTGTTGTCCCCTCGGTGTGGCGGACTGCTATTGTCAAGCCCTTGCATAAAACCGGTTCGGCCGAGGAATTCACAAATTATCGACCCATAAGTTTGTTGTGTTGCGCATTAAAGATTTTCGAGAGATTGTTGTTAAAGCGCCTGTTGCCACATGTCAGCCCGCAAATTGATGAAAGTCAGGCAGGCTTCCGGTGGGGTGCTGAAGAACACGTTTACACTCTTGCTGAATGTCTACGCCTCAGGGCCCGCAAGCGCACGTTCTGCGCCTTCGTCGATGTGCGTAAAGCGTTTGATGTCGCTTGGAGGGATGCGGTCAAGGTTAGGTTAGCTGATTTGGGTGTCACAGGCTCCACTTGGAAAGTGTTGGACGATCTTTTGACTGACACGTCCGCGCGTGTTGCGGTGAATGGATCCATGTCTCAGCCCTGGTCGGAAACCGCTGGCGTCCGTCAAGGCAGTGTTTTGGGCCCACTCCTTTTCAACATCTTGTTTGACAGCATCTCCGCAGCTGTCCGTGCCGCGTGCCCTGGTGTTCCCCTCGGCGGCAGCGGCTCGCTCAGGCTCACGCTGCTGCTTTACGCTGATGACTTGGTTGTGTTGGCTGAGAACCCTCGAGATTTGCAGCGGGCCCTGGATGCCATTGAAGCTTGGGGATCCAGTTGGAGATTCTCTTTTGGCATAGGGCCTGAGAAAACTGCTGTTCTTGTTGTGGGTTGTAGGGCGCCCAATTTTCACTTCCGCCTGCAAGGCGCTGACGTGCCAGTGGTTTCAGAGTACTGTTACCTTGGTGTTTTGTTTCAATCGTCGAGGGCATGGTCAAAGCATGGCCGTCGGCTTTATGAAAAGAGTAACCGCAAATTTCATCAATTCCTCGCCTGGGCCGAGAATCGTCAGTTGCCCACCGGGTTTCGCCGCAGTTTGTTTCAATCATACGTTCTCCCGTCGATGCTCTACGGCTCCCAATTTCTGAGTGCTGCTTCCATTTCATTTTTGGATACCAAGCTGCGGCAATGGGGTCGTCGTCTGTTGCAGTGGCCTGCCGGGGCTCCAGGTGCAGCTGTGCTGGGCGAATTGGGCTGGGTTTCTTTTGCCTTTGAGGTTTTCAGGGCTCAGTTCGGTTTGTTTGGGCGCCTGTCCTCTGTGCATCCTGATGGTGCTCATCGAGGTCTGGCTGCTCGTGTATTTCGCTATGCCCTAGGGCGGCAGGGTTCTTGGGCCCAGCAGGTGTCCACTAGTTTGTGCGAGAACGGTATTGATATGCCACACTTGTGGGGGGTGTCGCCGGGCTGCAGCCCGCGCGCTCTTGCTGTGTGGCAACGTCGCTGCATGCGCCCCGCCTTGCATAGGAATGCAGTGGCTGCCTGCCGTAATGAAGTTGCGGCTATGCCTTCGCTCCGCTTGTTTGCCCAGTGCCACAGCCACATGACCTTTTGCTCATATGTCCACAACTCTCGCTTGCAATCATCAGTTGTGCGTGAGTGGTCATTAGCACGTTGTGGACACCATCCATTTATGGATGGGCGAACAGCTCGTCATCGGTCTCAGAATTTGCCGTGCCTATGCGGCGATGACGACTGGAGCTTTCTTCACGCAACGCGCGTTTGCCCGATTTTCGCATCCTGGAGGGATGTGTGGCTATGTGTGGCTGCGGCGCTGTGAAGCGGCAGGTGTGCATGGAGTTGAGCAGTTTGCTGACGCTGCCTTCTTGCAGCTGCTCTTTACGCCGCATGACCGGCGCAACTCCATTAGTCTCATGTCTGCCCACTTGAGCTTTGTGGCAGCCGTGTGTCAAGCCCAGCGTTCCCTGCTGGACGGTCTGAGCGTGTAATTCTGAACGCTGTTAGTTTGAGTTATGTTTCGTTGTACATCGCGATCTGTACATTTGTTTCACTTGGTAGTTAGTCGCTGACCGCTGGACGGTTGCTTGAGGACTCGTGCTGCTGACGTCACATCTCCGCACTGACACGCGGCTGCAAGCGAAACACATGCACCAGGCAGCCAGGCAGTGCGATAAAGGCCCCGAACATCATTGTTTCGTATGTTGATGAAAGTCGAGCTGCGGCGTGGAGTCTTGTTCACGCGCTGCGCTTTTGCTCCTTGTACCGAGGCGACGGGCATGGACGCACCGCTCCCACGTGTCTGTTGAGCAGCTGCCTGACGACGCGTTTTTGCGTTTGCTCTTCTCACCGCAACATCCGTGTAACACTGTAGGCCTTATGTCAGCCCACATGCACTTTGTGGCTGGCGTGTGCCAAGCCCAGCGTTCTCTGCTGGAAGGCTGGAATCTATGATGTGAGGTGGCTTACCTTCTCAGTTTGAGTATATATGTCGATATCGTTTTGTTTCACTTTGTAAATACTGACCGCAAGACGGTTGTTTCAGGACTCATGCTGCTATATATACATATATATATACATATATCTATATACATATATATATATAGACATATCAGCATATCAATATATCATGTTCTATGATTTGTCGTATTATCAGATGTTCAAGTTTGTTTAAAATATTCAGAAGTGAATGTCCTCCCATTTCGGCGCACTGTACAAGTCCAATCTCGGGCGCAATACTCCTGCCACGCCCTTCTCGCTTGCTCTCGTCGAGCTGCAAAAGCAGTGCTCCGACGGGTTATTTAATCAAGGTGCACCTGGGCAATACTCACCTGATGTAGCGCAAGCGCTTGCAAATCTGGGGACAGACACAGGGACATGGTTTCCCCTCTGGAGCAAGACGGTCAGTGCTTCAAGGTGTTCATGGGCCCCGAGTGATCAGAGTAAGCTGAGCTGTCTTCAGGTTCCACTATGCAGAACTTTCGAATGGTCTCATCACTGTACTCATGATGCAGACATCCGAACTTGCTATTTTCGCATGTTGAAGGTCAGGTCGCAAGGTTGCCTTGGTGTCTTGGGGCAAGCTAATTCACATGTTCGATCAGCATTGCTGCAAGCTTAGACCCATCTCACATGCGCCCTGGGCATAGCCAATGGCGCAGGCCATGGGCTGTTGCCGTGCAGTGGCAGGCTGGAGGCGTTTGGAGAAAAGGCTAGGCTGACGCGGATCAACCAACCACCACAGGAGTCACCCTAAACCCTAAACCCTACAGGGCAAATGACAGGCTGAGATGAGCTCAAGCCACGCAAGGCATATCTGGCGAGCGCGAGACTTGATCAAACCCCAAGGCTACAGGCGAAACGAAGCTGATCGAGAGTCGGGCCAACGTTCATTTTTTTTTGCGGGTAGGTTGGAAAACATTATACGGAGAATTTGATGGGCTGAACTCACTGAGGTCTATGTCACGAAGATTGATGACAAGCGCTTTGGTCTGCAAGAAGTTGCATGTTGCAGCATCTGCTTAACCTTGAGAGTAAAAAAAAACCTTGCGGTACATCCTTGCGCGGCGAAGGCCAAACTAGAGATTGCATTTTCGAACCCAACATGCTCCCAAAAAAGCGTCTTTGCAAGGGATGTCCACACTTGCATCCTGCTTGTGCCCGAGCTGCTCTCCGCAGGAAGAGGTCAGTCGTTGTGACCTTCGCGGCGGACAAGAAGGCTGCAGCGTGGGGTTTGAGACTGCAACTGAGCTCAGAAACATCGGTTCTGTCGTTTGCTAGTGATGGCCCCGAGCCGACGCCTGAACATCCTGCAAGAGCCCTTGCAAGGACGACGTGTCAAATCGTTGAAATGTGGCGTCTGCGCAAGAAGTCATAGCAAGAGTCGATTTGCGTAGACGACCTGCAGGTGCCTTTGTTCGTCTTTTGCCTACCATTCGTGCACTGTCATGTAACACTATTCTCAGCGAATTCAGCCTATGCGGTGGAGTACAGGGGTCGAAGGCTGCAGGGTCCCCTGCCAGGTTTGGAAAGAAGTGCCGTTTTCCAAGCTGGGAAGGCAGCTCGGATACATGCTACGTCTCAAGTGCTGCATGACCCAGGGCCAACGCTGCGAAAACTTACATGTGACACCTTTCACGACGTGACACTGCCCTAAACCCTTATCAACCCTAAACCCCTGGCTAGTCGGGTGGCAAAAATAAAACCCTAGCCCTAAACGTTTCAGGGGCCTTCCGCTTGCGTGCTTTTGAAAGCCCCGCCTTTCGTGGTTGCAGGAAAGGCTGCCCATTGCAGCCCTTCTCCAAGGTGGGGCTGGCATGTCTAGCCTAGCAGAAGTAGCTAAGGGCTTAGGGTTTAGGGTTTAGGCACTTTACCAAGCACGGAAAAGTCGCCAACTCATGCAGGGCTCGGTCCGTGAGTCTTGATCTAGCCTAGCAAAAGTTACAAGTTGACAGCAGGTGGTTGAAACATATGTTGCAAGTCGCTGAAACAGATGTTGCAAGTCGCTGAAACAGATGTTGCAAGTCGCTGCTCGACAACTCCATGCCGCAACCTTTCTTGGCACAGCTGGGCGGTCATCTAAATAATGGGCCTATTTGGGCGCTAAGCCATACAGAGCGCAATCCTGTCAAGAACGACCCGTAAATTTCGCCCAATCCCCAATCTCACATGGGCTTGGGCCTAGCGGGTGCAGTGTGTTGTTTCGGAAAAGGACCGGGCCAGCATCGGCTCCTGTTAGAGTATGTTAGAGTTGTGGACAGCATAACCTTAAGCAGCAGAATGACAACGTACTCAGCCACTCGGGGGTTTTCTACGAGCGCATGTGTGTCATCCAGCCACCACTGAGAAGCTCCGGCGTTGTCCAGCATTGTCCCTCAGAGCCTCGCAATGGCCGGGCGCGCCCTCCTCGCCCCTGAGCCTTTGCAGAATTGAGGGAATTGCGGCATCGTTGTCTGCTGCTGCTGCTGCATGAGTTAGTCAGTTAGTCTACTTGGCGGAGGTGAAGCATGTGCCTTTTTTTCGAAAACAACGATGACTGATTGACGTGTTCCTCAGGAACTTGTCTACAGGGACTACCAGCACAGTGATGACGAAGCATGCAAGGCAGGAAGGGGGGTCGAGCAGGGTTGCATCAGGATTTGAGCGCTCATGGTCCATGGTTCTAGTCAATTCATGCATGCTGCCCTGCATTGGCATTTTGTCACACGCGAACTGGGGCCTGTAAGGCTCTGGAGATGCGTGCCATGCAGGGTACCTTGGCTGATTCCGTGCGGTTTCATTTCTTTGGGTGCTTGCCAGCAGAGCGGCATCTCAGGTTCACGTTTTCCGTGGCTGCAGAGGTTCACGCGCATCTTCATTCGAGCTGGCTTTCAGCATTTCCTCACTTTTGATGCAAAGCCTCGGCAGTACGAGGATGGTCAAATCGCTTTGGCCGAATTCTGTGAATCACAGGGTTCGGTAGAAACAGTCCTCATGCTGCATGATGAGTCATGGTTTATCGTTTCAGCGTTGGTTTCGTGAGCAGGACCACATCATTCGTTTGGCGGAAGATCGCTCTGGAGGTGGGCAGTTTGGGTGCTCGTCAGAATTGAGCGCTGGTAGTGTAGTGCCTCTGGAATCCTGGGAGTGGATGCGTGGAGCAGTGCTTGCTGTTATGGCCTTGAACCTAGAATCTGCAGAGCGCATGCAGCAACGACAATGTGGGGCTTCCTTTCAAGCCCACAGCCGATCTCAGCCCTTTCTTCAGGCGGGCGCATCGTCGCAGTGGGCTGCGCCGCCTTGAAGACGGCACAGGTGCATGGCAACATGTGCAAGGTGGCCTACATCTTCGATCTGCGGCTGGGCTGCATGCCGCACTTCCCTCATTGCAAGGGCCAGGTTTGCGCAACCACTTAGGGAATTACCCAGGCACAGTTTGCAATTTGAACAACCTGCCGCCTGTGAAGATTTATCAGCGCACGTCCATGAGATGGAAGATCTTGAGCTCCGTGGGGCGACTGATTGATTGTCCCCTCGTGCTTTGCAGCGCTTTTCAGCTGTGATTCGGCAACATGCTCAGATGTTATAAACTCATACAAGCTCTGCAAGCCAGTGAGCAGAGCATTCCTAGAGTCGGTGCCCAGGCGCGTCGATGAAGAGTACCAGGGATGCGGCGTTGGGAAGGCCCTGACACAGCAGATCGAGGAGCCGATGCTTCGCGCAGCGCATTGAGGTTCAGCCTCAATGAAGCCCTAAACCCTCCCAAAACCCAAAGCCCTGAACCCTAATGGTTTCGGGTTTAGGGTTTAGGGTTTAGGGTTTAGGGTACCCTAAACCCGAAGCCCTGAACCCTAAAACCTAAACCCTAAAACCTAAACCCTAAAACCTAAACCCTCCCTATCGATGCCCTGATGCCTGCTCTTCACCTACGGAGGACGCCTGCGAAGCGAGAGGGGCGAAGTTTCTCTATCTGACGGCTGCCCGTCAAGACAAGTCATCGATATGCGCATGCGTTGTTCGACATGGCGAGATTCATGGTGACCCTAAACCCTAAACCCTAAACCCTAAACCCTAAACCCTAAACCCGTTCATCTTCATGCATCTTGATCTTCGTGCCTGGCCGGCACAATCAATCTTTACCCCACACTGTGAACCAGACACGCCGGGCCGGAAACTTCTATAAACCTGAAGCAATGGGGTCTTCAAGAAACCCAAACCTTCAAAACATCCTAATCGTCGTTTTGTTGTCGATCCCCGCCCAAACTTAGCATGAGCCATGTGCATCTAGACTCGAGACAGGACTTCGGACAGTTGCCTACAAGCAGATCTTGCCAGCCACGTGGAAGTGTAAGTGTCGAAACGTGCAAGCGCAAGGTCAATGCTGACAACGTCAAGGCGAAGTCTCTTTATGCCAAGCGCGGCTTTGTCCATGCCTCCCACCGACGCTTGCATAACAAGTTGAAACGCTCCTGTCGCGCTGAGCTCAACCTTGAGCTCAGACCCCATTAAACCTTGCAGCTGAAAGCAGGGCTCCTTGTCAAGTCTCTCAGCCAATGAGGTACAAGCAAGTCTGTCTGCGTAACCAGGGTACGTAGTACATTCCCGTGGCGAGTTCAGACCGATGCAAGGAAGTCCTGCTATGGCGTTTCTGGCCTTCCCGGAGCAGGAGGCCACATGGAGGGTTAGGTTTGGGGTTTGGGGTTTAGGGTTTAGGGTTCGAACTACCTCCAACTCCCAACTTGCAGCTACCGGTAAAAAGGGTTTAGGGCTGCTCAGGGCTTAGTGTTTTGCAGAGTCGTTGCCCATAGCAGTGGGATGGCCATCTATATGGCAGCATAGTAAACGGTTTTATTTGGACCTCCAACTAGCCCAGAATGATGGCCTACCGTTCATTCTGGGCGGGGGGGAGGGGGGGATAGACTAGTTGTTCAAAAGGGGCCTCAAGGCCTCTGAGATTGAGGAAGTCATTACAATCCATCTGACCTGCCTAGGAAGAGGACATCGAAGTTCAAGATCTCGACAAGGCGCGACTGCTGTGCTGGAGAGCAGTGGGCCCTTCACCCTGCAATGGTGCGGCATCGCAGGGAATCACGTAATCGTAGCAGCAGGTACCCAATCGTAGTATGTCTGTGTGTAGGGGAATGTGCTACACGGTGCCAGGAGGCTGCTCGAGCCATGACCTTGCGCTTCTATGCCTCCGCGGACCTGATGGGCGAGGGGGTATAGGCGATGTTGGTTCTGCTAGATTCTGCATGCTGCTAGCTGAGCTGCCTGTGCATCTCCTGCTATGTTTGCTGCTGCCGTTTGAATTGCTGCGGGTGAGGGTACTGTCGCCACTGCCATGACTACCGTCTTGCGTTTCTTGCATTTGCCTTCTCGAACTTTGGGTTATATGAACCTCAACATACTGCCTGTGCTATCGTCAGAAACAATCTTGAGCCAAGCAAGAGAGGTCCAACAAGGTACAGGCACCTTCACAGGACCTCCTGTTGAGCAACTTGGGCCAGCTCTTCGATTCGCCCCTCTATGAGGCCTTCTTTGTCCTCCAGGTTGAGGGTTGAGGGCTACTATTTGCTTATAAGAACCCCAAAAAACACAGAGTCATACTCCCTATATTGCCCTTGTGAGGAATAATGTTCTACATCTTTTGGGGGGGTTCTGAAGCTAATAGTGAAGGGTTCAGTAATCCTGGGAAGAGTACCCTAAACCCGAAATCCTAAGTACCAGTGGTGCAGTGCGACGCCTTTGCTTTCCAAGGGGACCTTCATAGCTCGTCGTGGCGAGAGCTTGGCTGGAGTAAGCGCCTGGAACGGCTTCTTTGCTGCGGTTCGGCTGAGCGTTGTACATTCTCAGGGATTAGGGTTTAGGGTTCAGGGTTTAGGGTTCAGGGGTCAGGGGTCAGGGTGTCGCTGCAGAGTAGAACACGGTGTTGCCCCTGAGCCGAGCAGAATGCATGAAGCTTTCGACGCCCGCCTCGCGAGTTTTTTCCGAGAGGAAGCTCCCTCACGGGCTTCAAGATCGAGCGTCTCTTCCTGCCCATCTCCTGGTGGAGGCTCCCACGCTCGAGCAATGTGCGTAGTGCTAGCTGCTAGCTTTAAGGTTTGCCCTCCAGCTTTATGAGCCATTGAGAAGCAACAGGAGCGCCCTTAATGATTCAGCCAAAAAACAATTTTCTCAAGGAAGGAAGAGAGTGGGGTTCACCCCCAAGCCCTCAGAGAAGTAGAAGAAGAAGGAGAAGAAGGAGAGAGAGAGCTACGGAAAGTAATGGAGATGTACATGCGCAAGTGCACAATCCAGCAAATGAAGATCGGAATCGCTGGGCGTTGGGCCCCTTCTGAGGGCGGCATTGCAGGAGTGGCGCTTGCCGCTTTCTCGGTTCGGCAGCTGGGCTCGTCGCCGTGCTGCGCTTGGTGCAGGCGCTTCAGGCGCCCAGAGGGGCCGACGATGGGGTTTCAGGCGGTCTTGCGGGCGCTTCGTTTGCTGAATAAAACCTTCCCAAATATCCCTAGATGCTGCAAGGTGCTTGGTGTAAAAATTGAGCATGTTGCTTTGGAGCCGGACGCGTGGATTAGCCTGAAGTACCACTCACTAGCCCGAAAAAAGGGCGCTGTCCAGCTGGCAGCGCGCAGGACCCAAAGCCTTCCACATGCGAAGTTGACTTTGGCCCAACGCAGAGATGGCATACTGGTTGGACATCAGGCATGTGATGCTGTTGCCCCTGGCTTAGGGGCTTTTTTGGGCCTGATTTGAACCTTTCCGGGGTTGAAGGCACTGGCAAAAAGTCCAATCTAGTTGTTTTCCGAGGCGGCTTGCTGAATGATTCTTCTGAACATGCGGAGGTTCGACTATTCATTGTCCAAGCAGGCTGTGGAAACCTCCTTCGGCACTTCCTCTCTTAACGTTAGTGAAGCAAACCCAGGTCTGCAACTTCTGTAGTACTGCACCCTAAACCCTAAACCCTAAACCCTAAACCCTAACCCCTAGCTCCCGGAGCTAGAAGCTTCCTCGCGTAGCGTGATCGCCGAAACGTGCAAAGCTTCATGTCGCCAGATCCCTGCGCCTTCGGGGGCCAAAGGCGGCCCACAAGCCAAGCAAAAAGTGCCCTAAACCCTAAACCCTAAACCCTAAACCCTAAACCCTAAACCCTAAACCCTAAACCCTAAACCCTAAACCCTAAACCCTAAACCCTAAACCCTGTTTTGTAGGTCCTCCAGTCGGGCCACCCATTTTTCTCCGAACAGACCACCAAAATCACCCTGCCTGCGGTTCGGCCAGCTATGCGGGAGCGAAAAAAAACCCTAAACCCTAAACCCTAAACCCTAAACCGCCCGATCAGATTGCCGGAACCTCGGCGGCAGAGACACACAGCACAAAGGACGTCCTGTGGCTTATTGGCCTGAAGCCGGGCAGCACTGCCGCCTTTGTGGTAGTTCTTGTGGGGGTTTACGAAAATAGGGGGGCCCCTTCAATAGACACCCTACATAGTAGGATCCCCTTAATTGACCCCCAGAAGTTTCCCCCTAATCGTTAACCCCCATTTCTTGTTGCTTCGCCATGGCCATGCCAAGGATAGGACTGACCTCTTCCTCGGTGTACTTTGTGTGGAAAGTCTGGCCTGTCCTCAGCTTTCTTGCTGATAAGATCATCTCCAACAACACGAAGATGAGACACAGGAATCTCGGTGAACATCCACAAGCATGGCCTGTCTGAGTCATCTGCACCTCTTTCCCTGCGCAGGCTCTTCGGCCCGTTTGGTTTTGGGCCCAAAGAAGATCAGGAGCAACTCATGCGGTCGGTTCTCAAGCGGTAAGGCCCTTAGCCCGTGCAGCGACATCGGACTCATACGGCACGTGCTCGCTCCATTGGAATCTGCTGCATTGCCCGCGTCCCGAGGGTGCACAACGTCGCTCGTGAATCCGGGTACGTGACTGGGTGGCAGCTGGGATCAGGCACACCAACCCTAAACGCGAAACCCTAAACCGGTTTAGGGTTTAGGGTTTAGGGTTTAGGGTTTAGGGTTTAGGGTTTAGGGTTTAGGGTTTAGGGTCCGAAGCCACTTCCTAAGGCCATGTCCATCTGCAACATGGACGCCAGCCATCCCCTGAGGCCCACTCTGCTCCTCACCTTGGTGAGCCGGGCTTCTGCAACCCCAAACCCTAAACCCTAAACCCTAAACCCCAAACCCCAAACCCCAAACCCTAAACCCTAAACCCTAAACCCTAAACCCTAAACCCTAAACCCTAAACCCTAAACCCTAAACCCTAAACCCTACATACAGTTTCTGGAGGTCTAACATCGCATGCTCCCGGACAGGCCTTTCTTTCCTAGCAACAAGTTCAGCACCACCTTCATGTACAAGTTTCTGCGCTGCAAGCAGCTTGCAGCTCTTGAACGTAGGTGCGTGCCCATGAAAGCCTTAGGGAAGGGTTGGGGCATCGCTTTGCCGTGCTTGCGGAACACTAAGCACCTGTCGGCGCCCTGCAAAGCAAGAAGCCTAAAGCACGCTGCAGCCTCAAGCCCCAACAAAATCTCAGAGCTGGGGAGGTGCCAAGTGGACAGAAAATAGCGTACAGTAGCTTTGGCAGGCACTGGCAGCACTTCTTTTAGATTTGGCCCGTGCCTCGGCCCCGTACAAGCCAGACACAGGGCGCGTCGTCAGAAGAGAGCAAAGCAATATCAACGGCAAGGGCAAGAAGCTGCACAAGCCAGCGAAAACAGGCTGTAACGTGAGCCGCAGAAGGCTCGGTGTTGAGCAGCAGGAAACCCTCGAACTGCGGTCTCTTCTGACCCCTCGAGCCAAGAAGTCTTGGCAAGGTCAGTTAGGTCAAGCTGATAGGCGAGTTCCTGTGAGTTATGCTTCTCTGCTCATTTAGAGCCTAAAGACTAAAACGTGAGATAAACCCCCTAAGCCCCCAAACAAGAAGAATTGGCAGCATGGCTCCTTTGCGTCTCCTGGCCGACCGAGGGCGCATAGCCCGCATAGCAATCCAACCCGACTGTTCAAAAGGATGTTCAACATCCCCCGCCCTACCCATATACCCCCCCCCCCCCCCCCCCCCGCCCCCCGCCCGACCCCCCCGAGCCCCCCTACCCCTCCGAAAAGCTTCCTCAACCCTGAACCCATGCAGCCGCTTTGGTGTCTGCTATGTGGGTGGGCAAGAAACCTGCGTGAGTTCATCTGGGCATTTCCGCATTTAGGGGTATGTTATTGGGGTCCTTACTATAAGGGAATCTTACTATTTGGGGGTCTATGTTAGAGTTTCCCTATTTTCGTAAACACGCATCTGACAGAGGTCTATGGAAGGCAGCAATGCCGGTCTTCCCCCGCTGTCCAATGACAACTTCTTCGATCCCAGAGCTTGGGCCAGAGATGTAATTGGGGTTTAGGGTTTAGGGTATAGGGTTTAGGGTTTAGGGAAGGATCCTGGGTTCGAGGTTTCTGAGGTTTCACGAGCAGAACATAGTGGGTGCCCGTTTTGGTGGGGTCCCTTGATTCGATATGATTCGATCCTAGCTGGGGGCATAAAGAAATGGGTAGCCCTATTTGGGGAATGCCCACTACTGCAGGTGACTTAGGGTTGATAGGCGACTAGGGTAATTTCAGGGGCCCCCCTAACATGGTCCCTAACCTCCTCTAAAGGGTTCTGATGTATGGGCCCTTAATCTGTACAGGGTACATAAGGGGTGTATAAGGGGCCGACCACGTAACTACCCGAAGATGTGATAGGCCAGGGTTTACGGCTGAGCCGTAGAGGGAGAACGCTGTGTTCGTCTTACTTCTGTCGGTGCGATAGGATAGCGTTTCTTGCATTCTCGTCCAGGAGTGTTTGCAGACCCTGGCTTTCTGCTGAGGATTGGGGGGCGGCTCGAGGCTCGAGGTTTCGGACTTCGTGTGTAGGGGGTGGGTGCCTTGAAGTAAGGAGACCTTTGACTACAGTTCACGAGCGCGGCTCTCGATCTCGGCGCTCGTGCTGCCACCCGGCTTCGTTTTCTTCATTGCCGCCTTTACGTTCTTTCCAGTCTTACGAATATACATGTCGTATTTCAATTTTGGCCATGCTTTTGGCTTCCTTGTTCGCGAGCTCTCGGTACGCTGCCTTCAAGAATTGGGAGCCCATGACTCAAGACTCCATGAGCATGAGCGTCTTAGTTTCCTGGCTCACGATTCCAAGGTGCTACACGGTTATAGTTCCTTGTCAAGAGAGTTCCTGTTACGTAGAAAGCCGTAATTTCGGTAATTACCCGCTGGTAGTGACTCAACAGGCAAAAGGTGGTAAGGGCTAGTTCTCAAGTTACCGCTTGGGATGGGGTGGTGGGGGGGGGGGGGGTGCTCTGCATACTGATCTGAGGTATGTCCGCCAGTTCGCCATGTACCCTGAGTGCTTGGGGAGTCTGTTCAAGCAGTCGGCGACCTGAAAGGTCGACCAGCGTCGGATTTCTTGGCAGCGATCTGTCTCTGCCGGACGACCTGTTTGGGAGAGTCCCGGGAGTCGCTTCCTGGGGTTCTTCCATCCGAAGCTTGCTTTGCACAAAAAAAGAACATGCCGCCCTGCTCTGGGCTTTTTGTGGATGCATCACCAACACCGAGCACACCAGTCCCGCCACGACACCGCGGAAAGGGCCTCACAGCCCGCTGCGTGAACCCAAAGCTTGTTTATGATCAACATGCTGTGATTGTGATGATGGTTCCGGCACTTGCTCGGATTTTCTCACAGCAGTCTTCCTTTTGAGCGGCCACGTGCTTGCTGCTTTCCAAGCGTGTGCGAGCGTGCTGCAGAAGCCGGGCAACACCGCAGTTCTCCCTTGCCAGGACAATGGCCAGAAGAGCAAGGACAGCTGGTTGTACAGAATGGACACTCGGAGCTTGAGGTCAATAATTCTTCTGCAAGCCTTGAAATCCTTGTAGTTATTGCTAACTGTCTGAGTTTTTGCACATGATTTCATCTACTTGTCACTAGTGTCATTAGTTGCAAGTCATCATGAAGTGTTTGCGGAGGACGACGACCACAAATCCAATGAAGCCGAAGGCCGAAAGCTCAGAAGTGGATCTTTGCAACTTTTTCGCAGCTTGTTTGGGCCCACCTGTAGGGCATCCTTGCTTTGAAGGATTCCTTTTTCCAAAGTGATTCTTATCCGACCCCCATCTGCTCCATCAATAAGATGGCGGCTTTTCGTTGCCTCACGTGGTGGGAATCCGGGAACTTGACGATACACCGCAGAGCAAAATTCCCGTATGCAGGGGCAGAGAGTGAGCGAACAGGGAGAGAGAGAGAGAGAGGTCCATCTTGCAGCCTGTCTTGACCACTTCCCGCGCCGTGGGAGGAACCTCACAGGCTTGACTTGGGACTCGCGCCGCCCTTCGGGGCGGCTCTCTTTCGGGGAGCGGTCCATCAGGGCTCCTTCAAGCCCAACGGAAGAAGAAAACGAAGAAAACGAAGAAGAAGAAGAAGAAGAAGGAGAAGAAAAAGAAGAAGAAGAAGAAGAGGAGAGAGAAAAAGAGGGATGGGGGAGAGTATGATCTTAGGGTCCCACGGGAGATCATCAGGATCAGGGGCAGTCTCACCCTGAAGGGTGGGCAGGAAGGAAGGAAGAAAGGAAGGAAGGAAAGGAAGGAATGACATCCAGGAAGGAAAGGAAGGCAGGAAGGAAGAGAGAGAGAGAGAGACGGGGGTCAAGGAACTTGAGCTGAGGGCTGGGGACGTCGTTCCGAGCTTTGCTGACCTCAAACCATTGCGACCTAGGGGCAGGCAAACCTTTCCCGGGGGTGAACCCCCCCCTTCTCCCACGAAGAAGAGAGAGAGCCATTCTGGCTCAAGTCGGTGCAAAACAAAACAGGACCCGTTGGAGCTACAGCCAGTGCCATTCAGTTTAGCGAGTGTCCCTCCCCCCAGTGAGATGAGCCATGTCATGGACAAACTGGGACTGAGCTGACCACATACAAATCCATCTTGAGTACAGATGCAGAGCAGACCGCGGGGGAGCCAGGGTGCACAAGAAAGAAGCGAGCCCGAAAGTTGGCCACAGAAGGGAAGATGAGCCAAGGAGTTTGGGGTGTAGGGTTTGTCGCCCGGGGTTTAGGGGGGTTTGCGTAGCCGGCCCACGGCTAGGGGTAAATGACGAAGTTGGTCATTCGGGGGACGGGGGGTACCCCCCGTCCATCTGGCAAGGAAGAAAAAGCACGTTTAGAACAAACCGCATCAGCTTCAAATGGCTTGGCGGCCGAGTCCTTGTCCTTAGGGTTTACGGTGGGCTTCTTTTCGGCATCGCCCCCCTGTCTTTAGTGTATGGTGGAGCCATGCAGGTTTGCAGCTGTTTAGACCGGCCGATTAGCACCCGTCGTGTAGCAACCATGCGCAGTGCAGTCCTGAGCACGTTCATGACGAACTAAGGGACGGCGACACCTGACTGGTGGAGACTAGAAAAGTCCAAACTTCTGGACAAGAAGGCCCGATTGCCATGCACCAGCGATGTACAAGCTTACTTGTAGCTTCGGCCAACTTTTTGATCAAGCATTGTGGTCTGCACGTGTTGTGGCCGCGCTCTTTTGAAAACAAAATTGGTCAAGGTTTGCTGCAGTCTCCATACAGAACCATGGGCCGACGTAAGGGGCAGTTAGGCCAAGACTGGCTGGGGCATGAATGATGCACACGCATCAAAGAGTCGAAGCAACGAACCTGAGGGCTGAAGCGAAAGCACGTGCAGAGATGACAAGGGGGGAGTGGAGCAAGGAGGGGGCAGAAGGAACAACACGAAGGCGTGCACAAATGCGGTGCATGGAAAGTGTAGCTCGTCGCAGACACCAAGTCCCTTGTCTACTAATTGCTCGAGAACCCCGGAAAAATAAACATATTCTTCCTTATTAAGGGTAATATGCGGATGATTATTTCTTATTCTTTTGGGTTCTTAAGCAAAATAGCAGTTGTCATTCGGCGCATCTCACCAGGAGCAGTCGAAGCGTGAGAAGGCCATGGAAGAGGAGATGAAACAGATTGAAGCCAAGGAGGAGATCAGTCGTTAAGGGTGTAAGGTCCAATCGGTTTAGGGTTTAGGGCTTAGGGTTAAAAGCTCACTGCTGCTCGTGTCGTATCGCAGCCTACTTGTCCAGGCAGTTCAGGAAGTCTAGCAAAGGGGGCCTTGGGGATGTAGGTTTCAAGGGCATTTTGCTGAAGGTTTCAGCCCTTGGCCTTGGCGCCATGTTGAGCTCCCGCGGCACATCTCAGGCCTCTTGGCCCATCCCAAGACAACCCCCTATCAGGACCTTTGAAGCACTCAACAACCCTAAACCCCAAGCCTTCTACACGCCTGCGAGCGTGCTAGTTGTGAGAGTCGAAACCTTATAAGCCCTAAAGCAAGCAACCCTGGGACGAAAGTCTTCGTTCGGACGGGCCAGGAGAAGAAGAAGGAAGAGAAACGGCGGAAAGCCCTCTTAGAAGCGGAGCGTCGGAAGGCTCCCACTTTCGGCAATCTATGAGACGAATTGACACGATGCAGCACTTTCTTCACATGAGCGATCATGTCAACGCACTATATTTTCAGCGCGCGGCGCATGCACATCGACTTGAAATC